CTAGCGATTACAGGAGCAGTTGAGCACGGCGTTCCCACATGTGATCTGGTACGGGTGCATGACCGAGCGCCTTCAGCTACGTGAGTCCATTAAAACGTGCGGTCAGCATCCAATGTCGAAAACTTACAGAGCCATTTATTTTGGGGATTTATTTACCGCTACATTATTATAGTTTTTATTTTTCTTACGCCTTCACTAAGTTTCGATGTTTCTTCATGAACCGCATTTATGTTGTTTTACCTGGTACTTAGTCTTGGCGTCAGCCATATTGGTTTGTTCCTCCTTTTGATTGTGCTGCTTGTATTGACTGGAATTGTGCATTTTTGATTGTGGATTGAAGCACTCTTCCAGAATCGGAAACACTGTGTTATAAAACAACCAAATATCATCTTTTGAACGAATCTGTGCGTGGTCTATCCAGACAGGATAGAATAACATTTATTTGTTGTGATTGGTAATTTTCTCGCATCCTTTATCAACTTCCTTATTAATTGTAATTAAGACTTGATTAATTGATCAATTATTGGTTGAATGACTGGGTGGTGTATTTGTTTAGATAACAATGTACATTTGGATTTATGATGAATTTTAGAATCTTAATTTTACTCAGTCGCTTTGTTTTCGTTTCAACCGGGCAAGGGCGCGTATCTTACCCGCGTAGACACCTATTCAGTCCAAACCGTAGTTTGGATCTTACAATCCTGAAACCACTGGGTGGTAAGGGAAAGTTCTCCGAAGAATTATAGGTGTGCTACACAAATACTTGCAGCCTACTAGATAAAATGACGGGGCTCATGAAAATGGTGGATTAGGAAATATCGGATGTTATCGCTGTCTCAGAAACATGGTTAGTGTCAGAAGTGTTGGACAGTGAAATTCAGTTGACTGAGTATTTATTCAGTAGGGCTGATATACTGGACCGTGGGGGAGGTGGAATTATCCTGCACACGAAAATTGCCTTGACCATACGAGCAAATGAGACAGTGGCACATGACTCAGGGATATGTGAACTAGTGCGTTGCAAGTTGGAATGTCGACAGCAAGAAATTGAATTGGTTGTAGTATATTGGAGTTCAGAATGTGTAATAGTTGACTTCCTCTTAAGCAAACTTAAGTCCTGGGGTAATAAGAGTGAAGGCTTTATAGTAGGCAACTTTAATGCGCCGTATATAAACTGGGTAACCTTAGAATTAGGGTCATCGATAACGTCATTCGATCTCGAGCTGATAGCAACCACAATTGCATTAACTTTATTCCAACACGCTAGAGATCCCACCAGATATGACTTACAAGGCTCCTCTTCTCTTCTGGATTTAGTCTTCGCACACGGTAATGACGTTGGTCAAATGACTTTCCTCCCACCACTAAGAAGAAGGGATCATGCAGTCATACTATTCAAATGCATGGCTGAGGTTGCCTGTCCAAAAGTGGCGCCGGCCCGTCTTAATTCATGGAAGACAGACATAGTGGCAATCAACACAACACCATCGGCTGAAAATTGGGAAATTGACTCAAACGTGTCAGAACAGGAAGCATGGATTCATTTCAGGCAGTTATACAACCGGGTAGCTCAACCATACATACCCTGGATAGGCCGGGATATTCGAAGAAGAAATGTTGGAATGTTGTTATCAGCCTTGGCATAGCGTGTACGATGGAACGCTAGAGGTCGGTAAGAAACACTTGCCTAAGGGAATATTCTTGTACATAAACTACAGAACAAGGATGTATTATCGGATTCCTAACCTAACTAAAGAAGAGAGTTAATCTGCAACGATAGAGGAAGATCAGGAAAAAGTAGAGGCTATGGCTAAATATTTGTGGGCAGTTTTCACTCAGGAACCTCTTTAAGACAAAGAACCAGACCCAAATGCTGAGTCAATAAACCACCTGCTCACCGTAAACTTCGATCAAGACGATGTACTTAAGGCTCTTATCACCTTAGACATGGAAAAGTCAACAGGACCAGATGAACTACACCCCAAAATCTTGAGACATACTGCAAAATATATCACATTCCCACCCATTGTGATATTCAGTATGTTACTTCACCAAGGTGTGTTACCTTTGAACTGGAAGGATCCAATGGTCACACTCATACATAAAACGGGACCAAGACAACTTCCATTGAACTACAGACCTGTCAGCCTCACCAGCATCGTGGTTAAAAATACTGGGAAGAACAGTCGAAAAGACCATAATGACATTTGGGCAAACCAGCAATTTGTCAAACAGCGGACAACATGGCTTCAGAAAAGGTTTGTCCTGCACCACAAACCTCCCTAAAGCGGTGGAGCTTTAGACAACGGAAAAGGAGTGGATGTTGTCTACATAGACTTCAGCAAAGCATTCGACAAGGCGTCAACAATTCGAATGCTATTAAAGCTAGAAAAACTTGGTATTGCTGGTACCGCTGGATTGCTTTTTAAAATGCATTAAGGATTTACCAGTAAGTCGTAGACAGAAAGTAAGAATAAGTTCCAAGTGCTCCACCTAGAGACCAGTGCTTATTGGAGTGCCTCGTTGTTCTGTCCTAGGTTTCTTACTTTTTACAGTGTATGTTAACGATCTCCCAAATATAGTACAGTCCGCAATATTATTATACGTTGACAATGTAAAAATCAGGCGTTTAATTTCAAATGCTCCACATATGCCCAGACTTAAACTCCGCGTTAACCTTGAATAACCAACTTAAGACGGATTTCAGATTTGTGTAGTAAGGACAGAAACCATACGGCCTATGTTATTACCTTTCTAAGTGTCCTTCTATGAGTGTCCGGTTTTCTCTTGAATGAGTCACTTGAATGTGCGGACACTACTGATAACAGGTTCCAAGTATTTGATTACTCGATGTGAAAACCTGTATGCCACGCGTATTTTGTTCCCTTTTGGATTTTCTACTCGCCTGCTATGTCCTATGAGATGTGCTGATCGAATGGGAGGAAAAAGAGAGATGATGTTGGGTTCAAAATCATTTCTTAGAATTCTAGACTTCAAATTTAGATCTCCCCTTAGTTTGCGATATGACAGAGTAAAGAGGTCTAGCTTTTCAAGCCGCTCTTTGTAGGGCGAACCCCGGAGTTCTGAAATTGCATGAATAGTTGTCCTCAGTACTTTTTGTCGGATATCCGAGTCACCTTTTAAACAGAAGCTTTCAGCCTCGACGCAGTTCTCAAGAGTAGTCACCAAATACTTGGAACCTGTTATCAGTAGTGTCCGCACATTCAAGTGACTCATTCAAGAGAAAACCGGATACTCATAGAAACACACTTAGAAAGGTAATAACATAGGCAGTATGGCTTCTGTCCTTACTACACAAATCTGAAATCCGTCTTAAGTTGGTTATTCAAGGTTAACGCGGAGTTTAAGTCTGGGCATATGTGGAGCATTTGAAATTAAGCGCTACGAAGTTCGGGTTTTTAGGTGGGATGAGACTATGATACATAGGCAACCTCTGAGCGATGCTGCAGTGACTTTGAAGATTTACCCATTTGCTAGGGTTTAAAAAGAACTGTAAATTACCGTTACGAATTAGTATTTAAAGTCAGGAGTTAGGGTTACTCAAGCTGCCAACTTTGTGGGAATTTTGGGGTTTTCGTCTAATTTACCCAAAATTTACTATTGCGGCTTCCCCGAAATCTACCGAATTTTCCCCAAAGTTGGCAGCTTGTGTAGGATAAGCTAAAATCCCAAAATGCTATTTAACCACATGGATAAACGAACTTCTCGGAAAAATTCAAGTCGTACTTTCCTCAATTCCATTGGTTTGTCCTCAGATTATACCCTTATCTCAGATTGTTTTAGTTTTGCTTATGTATTGTTGATGGTGTTTGTTAGATTCTTTAACCGTCCAGTGTAATCGCATTCTTTGTAGTTTCTGAATCGTTGACTCACTTGTTTTCTCGTAGTCCACGCTCCTTTTCATGCTACCGGAGGCTGGACATTGAAATCATATAGGTGCCGAAAGCCGTTCATAAATCGTCTTTAGTTGGTTTTGTTCTTTGGGTTTTTTTTCACTAAAACTCGTAAGCCGACTTTAATAATTAGTAAGCTGATTGCTGATAGTCAGCTATTGTGGATGACCTTTGAGCGACGCTAAATTGACTTTGGGAGTGTCTACCTACTTACTATGGCTAAATGAGGTTTATAAAGCAGTTGAATGAGTAAGGGTCATGATCCACAGTTGATGGTTATGTTTAGAAATTAGATTTGCGGTTTTGCGTTACGAACTAACTTGAGCTAAAATGTCAAGACGCTATTTGACCAAATGGGTTAGTGAATTTCACGCCAAAATCCAAGACCCGTTATCCTAAATCTGGTTGGTTCGTTCATTGATTATAGTCTCGTGGAGTAGGGTTTAACCGGTCTAGATTGAAACAAATGGATAGAAATACGTTCATATATTGTTTTTCGGGATATTAGTTCTGAACCGTGTGAATGAGTCGTACGGAGTGAAGACTTGTTAAGTTTCATAGACATTTTTTGTTTTAGAAGTAAGGCCTATAAACCCTAATGGTTTAAAAATTGTGTCTAGTTATCACATATTGTCTAAATACAATCTTTCAGTAACATTGGCGTGACTTGAATTGTTGGGAAACGGTCATATGTAAATTAAATGAGAGGATATGCAGTTGATATTGTTGCTCCTACTGTAAGGTATTCTACATAAATCGCTGTTCACAAGTACAACGCTTCATTTGTGTATTCCTTCGAGATGAAACCTGGGATGTGAATAAAAATGAAGACATGTTGAACTTTGTCTACTAACATGCTAGTTATCTTGCATACATGTTTGCATTTTGGAAAAGTATTTGAAGATATTGGTACTCTGAAATCATAGATCCTGTATCGATTTCGAGAGGACTGTATACTAGGGATTCCGGAAGTAATGCTTAGTCAGTTTACCCGTGAAAATTAATTTATCCTGTGAACTATAATTGTGCTTTTAAGTCCTCTTATTTGTCACTTTAACTAATGAATCTTTCGAAATGCAGATTATAATGGCATTGATAGAACGAATGAGCATTCTTGGAATTCGAAGTTTTGGACAGGAAACATCCCAAAAAATTGAATTTTTTAGACCTGTCACTTTGATTCTTGGTCAGAATGGAACGGGAAAAACGGTTAGTTACTAGTCTAATTTTTTGTCCGCCACTGCTATTTAGACTTAATAAAGTATCTGCTGATTACTATTTAGACTGTACGAATGTTTAAGTAGCTCTCCCCTCTGTACTAGCTTGTTTATTGTTGCTAAGGTTCCCATTTTTAGTACATATATTCACTTTTACTTAACCTTGTCATCAACACTTATAGATAATTTCGTCCACCTTCTCAATAATCGGTCCACTACTAGGAGTGGTCGGCTAAAATTTGTGGTGGCTTTTTGTAACACCCATTTGGAATTACTCTAATTTCTGAACAAAAAAGATTTACCTTGATCTTTTTGTAACTCTGTACATTTGGCTTTGTTAATTATTCGCTTGTATTCCTGAGCGTTTTTATGAGTGCGTATTTGTGTATATCTACCCTTTTATTACCTTTCTGCGTAAATAAGTGCATGAAATAGACGTATCCAGAAACATTTCATATTCAAATCCTATTATCCATCGTTGTATTAACGTGGTGAACTAATAGAATATGTACGAAGTTAAATGAGACATGTGTTTTGCTAGTATTATTCACCATCGCTGTCATTATGGAATCAACACGGTAACTCAAGCTAAGGCATCCGACTTTCGGGTTATTTATTTATTTATTTGAACACTTATATATTGGTACAGGAGTGCGCCAAATATATATGCGCCTCGCAAAACAATGAGGATTTAAGAAAAAAAAAGAAAAAAGTGGGGAACGTAAAAAAAGATATAAAAAAAACAATAACGAAGAGATTGGTGCAAGGTAGTGTAATAATCATAGTAATGGTAGGGGAACAGAAGGGTACAATCAGAAGAAATCTTTCAGGTAAGGAGACACAACCACTTTTTATGAAGAAAGTAAAAGAAGGTTACAGCAGGATCGCCACTGGCTTCTATTCTGAGCCATATCTGATAACGTCTCTAGCCACTGTGTAGCACCATCTCTCGGACCCCAACCAGGGAGTCGTGAAGGACCAACACAAGCCAGTCCTTTGCAGCTTTCTTTCATGCCACGACACCATGTCATGCACTGACCACCTCTCCGCTTCTTCCAACCAGTCCCAGAGTCGGCAAATAATGCACGACGTGGAATTCTCTGGGACGACATTCGGAGAACATGTCCAAGCCACCGAAGTCGGTGTTTCAAGATGGTGACACCAATTGATTATCATCTCTGTGCCCGAACACACGATGCCGAACCTCTGCATTACTGACATGGTGTTGCCACTGAATGTCAGCAATCCTTCGGAGACAGCGATGATCGAACACAGAGAGTCGTCTAACGTCCTCAACTCGGAGAGGCCAGGTTTCACAAGCATAGAGCAAAACTGCTCTCACCGACGCGTTGTAGATCCGACCTTTTACAGCCAGACTAACATCACGAAGGCGCCAAAGGTGGCCCAGATTGGCATAAGCCGCTCTGGCTTTCACTATTCGTGCATTGATCTCATCACTCACACCCCCACCAGCACTTATGCAGCTACCCAGATACACGAACTTCTCAACTACGTCTATCTGCTCACCATCCAGGGTGAGTACAGGATTAGAATCCTGCCAGTCTTGTAGAAGTACTTTGCACTTCGAAGGTGCAAAGCACATACCATACCTACGGACACTGATTGCCAACTGATTAAGTGCGGATTGCATGCCTTGGGCATTATCGCACAGTAAGACAATATCGTCCGCATACTCAAGGTCGAGAAGTCTTTCTCCAGGCAACAGATCCACACCACCATTACTTACATTCATCAGAGCTGTTTCCAGAATGTCATCGATGGCAAAGTTGAAGAGGAATGGTGAGATTGGGCAACCCTGCCTAACCCCACTGCTCGAATGGAACAATGGAGAGAGGTGGTTGTATGCCCTCACTCTGCCTGAGGTGTTTTATATAGGGCTTTTAGGATGTTAATAAACTTCTCAGGCACACCCTTCTTCAATAGACAATCCCAGAGAACAGTCCTGTCCAACGAATCGAAGGCAGCCCTGATGTCAAGAAACACTACGATTGTTGGCCTTTGAAAAGTATGGCGGTGTTCTAACATTTGGCGGAGGGTGAAGATATGATCAATACATCCTCGACCAGAACGAAACCCAGCCTGCTCCTCGCGAGTCAATCTTTCTCGGGTTTTGAACAACCTACGAAGATGACGGAAGCCAATAGCTTGGACGCAATCGGAAGTAGACTTATCCCCCGATAGTTGTTACAGGAACGACGTGAACCCTTTTTAAAGATAGGGACAACTATCGACTCATTCCATGACGTTGGTACACTCTCTAGTTCCCAAACCTTTGTAAACAACGTCGTCAATTCCTTAGTCAAAAAGTCACCACCATCTTTAAAAAGAGCCGGAGGTAAGTCATCTGGGCCAGGTGATTTGTAACGCTTCAAGAGTTGGAGTTCCTTGCGGACTTCCTCCTCATTTGGTGGATCAGTCGTCACCGGCCATGGAGGGCAGGACAGTCTGACCGATGTTGCCGGAGCAGCAGGCCAGTTGAACTGCCCTTCGAAAAATTCTGCCCATCGTCCAAGACGTCGATGGATGTTAGTGATTGGCATCCCATCATCCTCGCAGATTGTTTCACTCACACCAGACTTCTTGCTGCCAGTGGCTCGGATGAGTTGGAAGAGCTTCCGGTAGTTACCAGATGCAGCTGCTGCTTCCAGCTCATTAGCACGCATCGACCACCAGGCTTCTCGGTCCTTACGCAAGCTTTGCCCAATTTCCTTACGTAACATCCTTCGTTTATGGTCAAACTCACGGTCACCCGGAGTAGACCGACGGGCTTCAATGAGTTGTAAGGAACCAGAAGAAACCCAGTGCTTAAAGCGGGACGTTTCGCAAACCCACAACCGGTTTTTCCCGCCATTTTCATGGCGTCATGCAATTGCAACCAATGCTCATCTATACTTTTCGGTGGAGTGGTAGCTAGCCTAGAGGCTAGCTCGGTTCGATACTTACTTGCAACCAACTTGCTAACATCAATCCTTTGGTGGCGGTCCACTGAAAAGTAAGGCAAGATTGGCGCAGACCAAGGCATGGTCAGAGTCCAGATAGGTACTCCAAAAGGAGCGGCAGTCTTGTACACAACCACGCCAGCGGTAGCTGATCGCGATGTGATCAATCTGAGTCCAGGCTTGAGATGCAGAGGGAGGACGCCAGGTGGCACATCGGCGATGACTGTGCCGAAAGTTAGTGCTAGCCAGAAACAGGTTGTGGTCTGTGCACAGTTGCAGTAGACGGTCCCCGTTATCTGACCTGCGACCAACGAGTCCCCATCGGCCACCTAAACGACTCTCTTCTGTGCCTAGACGCCCGACCTGAGCATTCAAGTCTCCGGCTAGTACTACAATATCTGTCGAACGCACTTTCTGGAGAAGAACAGTAACTGGTGGTAAAACTCATCCTTGATTGCATCCGGGCTGCAATCTGTCGGGGCATAGGCGGAGATGACGAAAAGACATCGTTTCTCACGCCGATTTCTTCTCACTTTGATGGAACTTTCTAATCTAACAGCACATAACCGACTGTTAATGGGGATCCAATCGACTAGTGCTGCCTCAGCTCTAGCGCTTAGTGCGACACCAACGCCAGCAAGACCAGACGAAGATGCCACAGGGTCCCCGGATAAGCGCACGTAAAACAAGCTTTTCGAAGCGACAGATGGAGATCGAATTTGTAGTACTTCGCCAGAGTCTTGAATACGGGTCTCGGATAGACAACAAACATCGATATTAAGACTTTCCAAAGACATAGCCAGCCCTATCTGTTGTCCGACCTGCATAAATGTGCGAACGTTGAAGGCAGCCAGTTTGAATGGTGCACGTGGTTTCAGAAAAACTGCTTCAGTACTCATATTCGGTGGTAACATACAATTTTCAACCGGACAGTGACTCGAGAACGTTTAGATAGAGTCGAATTTCCACCATAGACGAGCTGCTGTATAAGTCGAAAAAAATAAGTATAGACAGAGTAGAAATAAAAGAGGTTGAATAATGACGTAGTAAATAACAATAATAATAGCAATAATAATTGAACCATTTGAATGTTCGTCGAAGCAAGAGAATTAGTTTCCATGATCATAGACAGTTCAGTTCATTAATTGCGTGTGGGCTGCGATACTGCCCGGGTGCCCAGACCGAAGCAGGTGGTTATCTTAGGGGCCACACCCCGAGCCTTTGACCTAAAGGTCTAACCCACAAGGCAGCGGAGCATCGTAAGGAGATGCAGTCCCATGGTAGCCGGTCACCGTAAATTGGTTCATACGCCATTTGTTCCCGCAGGATACTGGTGCCTATGTGTACCATTGATTTGGAATCCGATTAAAGCGCCGGACATTCGCTTTTCGTCCTCTCTTTTTCGTAAACAACACCCCTGCCACGAGAAGGCAGTGAGTAGGACTTCCCTGGCAGAGGCTGTATGCGCACGGCCGTGTGAGAGTATTTCGAGAGGGAGGGCGAACCCACCCAGCTCTCGGCCATACCAGGGCATTTCGGGTACCAAGTTCCAGGTTTGAATCACATCCACCTACTTCCGCTTGGGGAACCAGGCATTATTTTGAGTCCTCATACCTGGTGTGGCACATACTCAAGTGCCTTGGCAATGAGTTAAATATTTTGTGCGAAAAGATCCACTTATAACACGACGTAGTTTTGTTTAGTGAAGACGCTGACAAAATGCAGTCTTCTAATCTCCTTGAGAAACAGTGCCAACATGTTTGGAATTTGATTCTATCCCTCTAAATGCAAAATGTTTCAGGAATAGTTTGCGTCAACACCTGAACTAATGATAGGAAGTGGGGCATTTCAGTAATTTGGCCTGTTCTATTTTATGGTTATGGAACACAGCCATTAAGAACAGAGGATATTCATAGGCTACTGGTTTTCGATCATAGGAGTTTTCAAAGTAGTTCTCGGGTATGTCGGTACCACAGAGTGAGCGATGCTGATGAGAGGTATAGGGTGCTATATTAAGATAACAAACCGGTTGATGAGGTAGTGAACCTTCATCAAATTAGTGGTTGGGACGTGCATTACGTATATCCAACCACCGCCTACCTCGATAGGCGATATATCTGGCCTAGGAGTGGGGTGGGAGAAATTAAGAGACAGCCAAATCAAAACATAGCATCAGTCTATGAAGTCATTAACTGTTGGGCTGAGCTATCTAGGTAGGTGCAGATTACGTGATTGGGGTCCGGGCGATTAACGTAACCATTGACGAGTTTCATAGACACATCCAATCTTTGTTTCCTCTTGTTTCCTGATTACCCAAATCTCATAAATTGTCTTCTTTTTATTTACCTATTCTTTTCTACTATTTTACGTAGTTACTATTTCTAGCACCGTATGGTTTAGCTCGGCTCAACAACACTGTTAGAAACTTCTCCTAGTACTGATAGTAGTGCGATGCTTTTGTAGTTCTTTATTTGGTATCTTGATGAGGTATCCCTTCCAGTCTGTCGGCACTTGTTCTTCCTCCCAAATCTTTCTGAAGAGAATGTGGGGCATCTTTGCAGTTACTTCAGTGCTTCAGCTGGTATACTCCTGCTTTCCCACTCTTGATTTGACTAATGGTCATCCTAATTTCTTCCGTCGTTGGTGGAGTGACATCTATAGGAAGGTTTGTGTATGCTGCTTCGATATCCAGTGGATTCAGTGGAGTTGGCCTATTCAAGAGTACCTCAAATTATTTTACCCACTTATTCCTCTGTTCTTGAGTCTTGGTGGTTGTCTTGTCTTCTTTGTCCTTGACTTGTCCCTCTGGTTTACTATATTTCCCTGTTAGTTTCTTCGTCATGTCATATAGTTGTTTGATATTTCCTCCTTTCATAGCTTTTCCCAATGTCGTTGCTAGGTCTTCCACATGTTTCCGCTTTTCGGCTCTAATGCTCCTTTTCACTCTCTTGTTTGCTTCCGTGTATTTGGCTGTGACTTATCTTTTTCTGCTCCTGTTTGCATGTCGTTGATTACTGTCTTCTTGTCCTTCCTTTCTTGAATCTTGTTCGGGGTATCATTAGAGATCCACTCTTTAAGCTAGTGCTTCTTTCGACCCAACGCCTCCTGGCCTATTGAAGTTATTGCTTCTTTAATTCTTTTTCAGTTGTTCGCCACAGTAGTTTCCTCTTCTTTGAGTAGATCTTGTAAGGCTTGGAATTGATTGCTGAAAGTATCTCCTGGCCTATTGAAGTTATTGCTTCTTTAATTCTTTTTCAGTTGTTCGCCACAGTAGTTTCCTCTTCTTTGAGTAGATCTTGTAAGGCTTGGAATTGATTGCTGAAAGTATCTCGAATTCGTTGAATTTTTCAGCATTTCGAAGAAGCTCTGTATTATATTTTATAGTGCTGTTTCTCTAGATTTCTAGTGCTTCTTTGGCTTTAGTTTCGTCTTGGCCACAATCAAGTGGTGATTTGAATTTATATCAGCTCTTTCATTTGTTCCCACATTTATGAACCTTCTGAACTTCTTATTCAACCAAATGTGATCGATCAGGTTTATTCTAGTGTGGCCCTTTGAAACTCGTTTAACTTTGTATATGAGTTTGTGGGGAATATTGCGCCACCTATAATCATTTTGTTGAAAACACATAAACTTTCAGATCTCTCATCATTTTCGTCCCTTTCTCCCAGACCATGTCTTATGATATCTTTGTACCTGATGTTGTCCATGCCGACCTTGGCATTTATGTCTCCCACCGGAATGATCAGGTTCTTTCTTAGACACTTCTCTATGATCTATTGCAGTCTCTCATAAAACTGATCTTCATCGTCTTCATTGCTATAATTAGTGGACGCGTAACACTGGAAAACATTCATTGTAATCCCCTCCTTTTTTGAAGGAAGCTTTGATAATTTTAGGTCAATGAGATTGCCATTCTGTAAGTGCATTTCGTACTTCTTTGAATAGCATCAGTTCAACTCCTTGTGTGCACGAAGCATTTTATTTTTCGTGGTCAGAGTACGACAGCACCTTTCCCGAGCCTAACCTTTTCTGTCTAGCTTTAGTTGCTCTGGTTGTCAGAGGCGACGTCGGCCCCATGACTTCTGTTGACGATGTTAGATCCCAGAGCTCACTTGGTAATTACCTTATTTTCGTAATTCTATTTTAAAAATTTGAATTTCCTGTTTTCGCGCCAAAGCTCTCATTATTTTTACCTTCATTTCGTATTTCCTACTTGGGAGGATCTTAAACGCTATTGGTTCGTTGTATCTTTTAGTATGCTATTTTGTAACGCTTCCCAAAGACAATTTTATGCTGTATATATACGTTTGACTTGTGCTTGTTGTTGTAGCTCGTGCTTCTGGCTGCTTGTGGAGTATATTCCTCTTTTCTGAACATGAACTTCTCTCTCTAGTTAACGGGGCTGGGACGCGTCGAAATAGCTAGCTTATCTGCCATTATTTCACAGAGTCTTCGTTGCGTTTTCAGATTAGGTAAACTCGTAATGTCTTCAAACATAGCAAGTTCTAAAGAATCTCCGCTTTCACCATGAGGCTTCATGACACTTCTAAATAAAGATCCTTCAATTCCCGAAGCAGGGTTTAAATGGTCTAAGTGATTTTCTCTCGTTAGCGTCTTTTAGCGTGGTTGTTTTCAACGATTACAAATCCAACTCTCTAGTTCTAGGAGGACTTTTTGTGGATACTGAAAGTTCTGGATAACAAGTACCAAATGTTCCTTTTACATTTTATTAGGATGTCAGCTGAAATTAGTCTGAAAACATAATTGTTTATTCCATGTTTTCCTCAGATAGGATATCCACAGTTTAAGTCTTCTTTGAATCATTTCCAATCTTGATGCTGTGGAATGCACACCAAATATTTTCGCTGTCACAGTTGGTACATTAAGGTTACAATATTTCTGTGAGATCATTTAACAAGAGTTTGTAACAGGAATCTTGTTTTAGTTCTAAGATGTGATATAGGGACAAGATTCTTCGAGACTATTTATCATTTTCTCCCTGATCTGCTGATCGTCATTCAGTTTACAGTTAAATAGGTTCAAGTGGATTTATTGCTGCCACAGGACTTCTGAATTAGTCCCAGTTTGAAAGAGTGATTCACCTTGGTTTGATACTCGTATAATATTATTAGTCCTTGAAAAAGCGCATCTTGAAACCGACTCTATGAAACCGCTTAGTTGCTAAGTTGTAGCAAAAGTCTTTAGGTATTGATAATTCACCATGTCATCGGGTCTTACAGCGGTGAGATAGGAAGTTTTTAATCCGAGACCTTATCAAAGGATTAAGTATACAAATAAAATACTTCATAAACGCAAATTTTATGGGTTATATAAAGTAAAAGTGATATAATAAGTAGGAAACTTTGTTCAAATTCACAATTATCGTTCGTACCGTTGAAAGATTATTTTCCTAGCGGTTACACAATAACTTGTTGAACTAGTTGAATTAACTAGAATTAATCCAAGGAATAGGGTGGGGTAAACCAAATTTGATTTTAGGTACTGAGTTTCTCAGTACAGAGTCAAGTATTTTGTTAACATGCCTAACTGTTCATCGTCCTTCCTGGGAATATTCCTGCTACAGACGTTCGTTATAAGACAGATCATAAATATTATTCAAAGGATTGTGCTTTCTGACCTAAAGTTTCCATATTGTTTTAGATATTATGCTCGACTTATTTCGACACCATAAAATTCATTTATTTCACTGTAATTTGGAGGGTTTTTCTACGAACGGTCAGCAGCATTTTTGTCATATAAAAATCAAAGGTCAAGCAAAGATGATTGGAATAATAAAGTGACATCTGGTGTGTTATATTTAGTAATTAATTTAATAACTGGTTTGTACCTTAGCGATTTTAATTTTTACTATGTCATCATTTGGCATAATCATTCTCTCTCAAAATAAATCCAAAAATATCTATAGGGAATGAACAGTTACTTAATTGTTTTACAGATGCTTTTAATGTATCTATGGCCCAAATTATAATTAATTATAAAGTCTTCATTAATCATATCAGGAATATTGTGTTTCAGACTGTCATCGAGTGTTTGAAATATTCAGCAACTGGAGAACTACCTCCTGGATCGAAAACTGGGTGTTCATTTATCCATGATCCTAGAGTAAGTGTTTGCCAGTTGTTTATTAGAGTAACTCACTTATTGTTCGTCCTTTATCATGACAATGTTTTTTTGATAAATTACATTCATTATAAAACGTCCCTATCTTCCCTTTCATCACTATGTATTCGAATACTTACTAAATTTCGTGCTCAAACTAATTAGTTTTCTTCCAAAGTATTTAATAGAAAATTCAGCTCTTAAGCTCTGGTTCATTGTTGACCGAAATTCCATGGTTGGATTTTGTATTCATGTCTATTTGCTAAGGTGACCAAACTTGTTTGTTGAGAGCCTAAAAATAAAATGTTTAATTGGCTTATTCGATACCACTAGTTCGTTATAACAGGTCTGTCTTACCAGTCCAAAAAGTAAGATACAACAAGTAGTCATATATTATCACTTGTTCTGAAAACATTTTCATCTTTTCCGTATCCTTGGCAACGACGTCCAGGCTCATGGTAGTTGTGGCTCGTAAGTATTCAAAACCCTTATTATTTGAACTAAGTTGTAGTGAAACAGTTCGGATACACTACGTAGATTGTAATTGAAACTGATCTCATGAAGTTATATATCACACTCGTTCCCCATTTGTGTTGAAATAATCACAACGCTAAATATGATCCAAATTTTGTATCATTTGTCGTTTCGAATTCGTCTAAATAAAATTTTGAAGCCCTAATTTGTTTTAATAATTTGTCATATTGGATTATGCGTTGATCTAGTCAAAATATCTTCAGCGTTGGAATGGTTTTGTAAATTTAAGTATGTTAGCGATGATTATATTCTCAGGATTAATATATTCCTTGGTGGTCACCACACAGGAACATACGATCGTTGAACTAGCTAAATTAGGAAGGTACTTATTCATTAGAAGTGGAATTCAAAAGTTCTCATATTTTTTGAACCCAATAATTCAGTTGTATCGCAATAATTTGAATTATATTTCTTTACACGTAAAAATTTTGCTGACCCCAAAATATTTAAGTATCTCGTATATAACACAGTTATGTACTTTACTTAGTCTTTCTAGATATTATTAATTTTATAAACCACGTCAACTCTTTAGTCACTTATTTGATTTAAATGAAGCACAATACGTAAAATGTTACTCGTTTTGTATAGTATTCAAGAGTATAAGCGTCAGTCGGTTCGTCCTTCACTAGATTTCATAACTACAAAATAACTAATAAAAGGTATCTGATGAGAATAATCACATGGATCATTTTTATTACTGGAATTAACTACCGCAACAATATACATATGATACATTTATGCCAAAGCTATATATATTTGATTTGCACCTTTTCTGTCTCTGATAATGCACGTATGTATTATTTTTCCGCTTAGTCAACCGATGATTAATATTCATTCTTCTAAAACGAGAAAGCTCATTTTTAAATAATCATAATTTCTGGGTTTATATATGGAATTTGTGGTAGTCATCTCGCCTGATATTATTCCTAACGTTTAAGGGTTGCTTGAAAATTTATGGTTACCTATTTTTTCCAAACTTTCTATGGAATAAATAGTTGTGGAACGATTATTTATTTTATAATAAGTACGTCTTAGTTATAATAACATCTTTATTAATTAATTATGAAATATCATACCTATAGAGAAATGTGTTACTCACTTAATCTAATTCACCATAATTAACGAACAAAGTACATGTGATGACTGTAATCTATTCATCTTTCTCTCACGATTTTCTCACATAGATAGCACAAGAAAGTGAAGTGAAAGCCAAAGTCACTCTTCAAATTCGTGATGTTAAAGGTTGTCCTATGGTTGTTTCACGAGCACTTATGGCAACGCAGCGTGATAAAGTAAGATTTTCTCTACACTTTCATAAATAGTTCAGATCTATTATGAATACACACTTATTTCTGTTTGATATTTCTTAAATTTCTATTCTTTTTCGAAATCGTCCTGTTGTCGGATCGCAAAGTGGATGTGTCAGTGATTTTCGCGTCGTGATAAAAATCTCGCTTTTCCTTAATAATAGTTATATAGCACAACATTTACATAAAACTGGAACTTTTTCACTGAATGTTTCAAACCTCAAATATCCTGGTTATGCCACTGATGCTCTCTCTCTCTCTTCTACTTGACGTGCTCTCATACTTGCACATATGTTTTTAGCTTCTTACAGGGATGTTATACTCACCATTCGTACGAAGTAGTACTGTTTATACGATTGAGACGAGAGACAGACTTCTGGCATTTGAAATAACTCGGTGGATGCGATATTGCTTCACTCTCTTGTGAATTAGATCCTTAGATCAAATGTTCGGGAAGTTGTATCCTGAGAAAACCACCTACTTCTATTTATATCCTCCTGTAGTGAACGAGAACACACAAGTGATGGGACAACCAAATGTATTTAAATACCAAATTACAGAATATCTTGGTAAAATATAAGAACCATACACTAAATATTCCATTTGCAAATTTCCATCATTTGTCCTTCACATTCTGTATGATTCTTCCGATTCACAATTCCTTTGTAATTCCGTTTCTGTTTTCTTCAAGTCAAACTTGATAGCCTTCTGCTACCAGGTTTTCCACTTCCTATTGATGTTACATCCTACTTATATCTGTTGACACAAGTAGGATGCATCACATTACCAGTATGTCAACCTACACCTAAATAAAAGGATACTCATGAAAAATGTGAAAATTGTGATTCACTTATCTGTTACGCTAATGCTGAAAGTATCATAAAGATAATAGTCATTTTATTTTAATTGGATTTGTTTTATTTCGGTTTGACATTCTACTTTGTTTTGTTTTCATGTTGCTTTTACGTTTTTTTTACACCGATTTCAATCCTTAACTCACTCAGTAGTTTATCTCCATTGAATGTCCTGCCCTTTCCAAACTGTCAGACCATTGAATGGTCGATTTTATGATTGTTTCCACTATACACGAAACCTAATACGGCTTTTCTAAAGGTCCGTTCGCACTTTGGTGCAGATCAGACAACATATATACTTGGTCATATCTTTGGGAAGTTTTACTGTATGCTGAATATCGGAGACCCTCATTCAAGATTCTACAAAAGCACTACTAATTTACTCCTCAATTATTGGTTTTAAAAGTCTGTGTGTGGGGTGAAATATACATTTCCCTCGGCTGAATCTGGCCTGTTCCCTCTAGTTAGCAGGGCTACGGCTCAGTGGAATAGTTCAGCTTGTCATGTTGTAGTGTTGCTAACTTTCATTCCGTTCTCTGGTTTAGGCGATATCGTAATCTCTTCAAACGTAGCATCATGTACCAGAGTGGAGGATCCCGATTGACAATCTTTTATGCGCTGTCAGGTTAGAAGGTTCAATCAGAGCGAGAAGGAACGCTAAAAATAACGTCTTATCATAATCCCAGACTACGCGCCGATGAATTATAGCATTGATACAAAAAGCTAGTTCAAACACTTTAAGTGATATTCGTAAAGATATTTTAGTGCCAACTGGGGGCTCAAATGTACATGTCGGAGACAGAGGAGGGTCTTCTGGGTGGATGATTTGCACTCGATGGTCTCAGAGCATATGACGGGGATATCCTCTAGAGTTTTGTATAGATCACAACCGGTTTCTACATAAAATCAACTTCAGACCCAGTTATTGCATATGTGCTGTGTCGTATCTTCCTTCTATATCCAAATACTGGTCTCAGGTCGACTACATTATTAATAACTATTAATCGGGTGCATAAGACCACCACTCTTCTTAAATTACCTATCTGGATTCTGGTCATCGCTTTGTTTCCGCAGAGCTTTTCTTACGTTTTAATAATCAACAAATGTCTCGTGTCCTAAGCGGATTAAAATAAGCTAGTTGGTGGCAGCTTCTATTGAAACCAAAAATGTAACCGAGCTAGTTTAATCCAAAATATGGGAAATTTTTCTAATCTAAAACAGATATGATGCTCCTAGACAAACCGGTCGACTTATACATAACAACGTTAGGAAACTGTATTCAAATAAGTGAAATAATATAGTAAAATAAAAAAGTCAACGTTATATTTGGTTGTTGTTATTGGAGTTGGAAAACAGAAATTCCATAAGACATCAGTAAATGAAAACGAAAATTATTTTCACCTTAATTACAAGAAGTACTGTTGTTGCCTTCGCATTGTGTGGTTTTCATTTGCATTCTGCTAGTTAATCATCTGTTTGTTATTTCTCAAGAGTTATTTTTTCAAGAGTTTTGGATAGGGAAGGTAAATCTGATAAATACTTCAGCATTATTTGAGATCTTTTACTATCATTAACTGTCTTTTGTTACCAAGCAAATTATTTCAAAATAATTTACACATGATATTTAATGAGGTTCGGGCTATATCAAAAATTCGATAAAATTAAAAATGTCAACCCTATATATTTTGACTTATCGGTTCAATATCATCGTATTCTGTAATGGACCTAAAGATTATAAGTTTGACCATGCGTCGGGTCGCGGGTGCGCACCTCTGATGAATCTGAAACTAGCATGAAACTCCTACCCATTATTTCTTGGTTGTGAATTGTTCTTCAAATGACGCCACTTCATGTTGAAATTTATCTTCATAGTATCTGGAATCTTTTCGAAGGCCATTTTAACTAATTATCCCAATTTTCTTTTAAGTTCTCCCACGTTTCTGTTGTTTCTTCTGTTGATTACTTTTTATTTCACTATCTCAAATTACATCATCTTTGACGATTGTACTGTTATGCTGGATTTCACGTTGTTCCAATGGATCGTTCAAGAACATTTAATATACAGCTGCTAAACAGGAGCCACTTCGGCTATGGCGGTTCCGATCATTACTTACTAGATCCAATATATTTGTTTTATAAAATGTGATTGGCTTCCTTGTGGCTTATGGTATTTACTGCATGTGTCTTACATTAATGCTACCTAAATTCGCACTCTGAATACTTTGTAGGAACTCTACTGGTTTTAAACATTTGTTACTTGGTTAGTGTAACTTAAGTTGCTATTGATACTTCTTTCCATTCTCACTTGATTACCCCCCCCCTCACAGTAGGTTTGTACAACATTTCAACGTGTTGACTCCTGATAATACCGTGCCCGAAATAAAACACGTAGTTCTTTCTGTGAAATTCTTAGTTAAAAAAGCATATGCAAGATAATTTGCATTCAGTTGGATACAAGTTTCAATGCTTGTTTAGGAACTAGGGTCAAATTGTCGAAGACTGATTAGTCGTAAATATACTTCATAAGTAAAAATAAAATTATAAGAAAACGCTTTAGAGCCTAATGGTAGATTGTTTCAGTAGTATTGTTTGTTACTCGCTGAGTTTAGTTTTAATATCAACCTTTTTTTCCAAGTGCTATAAAGTACTTTCTTCATATTCGCTCAACAGACAAAGCAAGGGACTTTAAAAACTCTGGATGGATCAATAAAACGTCAGTACTCAGACGGACGTGTTACAAGTGTCAGCCTACGATGTACTGACCTAGATCAGGAAGTAAGCCTTATTTTCGTTTCTTACTGAGCGCCATAAAGTCCCTTTTTTTCTTAGATGTTTTTGTGACAGTTTTTGATATTGGAATGGTTATTTCGCTTTTGAGTAGTCATGTTTAGGTAAAACCAATTGTGACCTAACACATTCATCTGTGTTACACTAGGATTATTATTTGTAGGTTGATGAATTCATGGTGAAAAATAAGTATGGCTGTATTTTCTGCCCCGAAAAAAGATAACATTCTTAATACAACCAAAATCGTGAAATATTCGTTGAAGTATGACACAATTTTTATTCATCAAAAGAAAGAATTTCTTATTTCAGAAGTATGAAAGTAAGATTTCTTAAGAATAGTCATTGAATACACTAGTTAAGAGAACTTATACTAGGGAGTAACACGATAGTCTGCTGTAGCCTACAGTTATGAAATATATCTGCTAATACTGCACCATGTACATCTTCAAAGTGATGTTACCACTGAGTCAACAACATAAAATAAGAGTTTGATTTCTAGATAGGAAGGTGGTAATGCAACTAATAAAGTTCAGAATTCGCACACTAAATACAGCCTACGTTGTTTTATTCAATAATTTCTATGGTTGTGACTACGTTCTAAACTAATGGTTCGGTTTTTTATCTTTTGAAATTTGGTTAGATGGTTACAAGTTTGGGTGTATCAAAAGCTGTCTTGGAAAATGTTATCTTTTGTCACCAAGAAGATTCTAATTGGTCAGTTCCTATCTTTTAATGTGCTTTTGTTTTGCACTTATAATATCAGTTATTCTAATCCATATTTCGGTAGTATTTTGAATATTCCTTCTTGGAGGGGTTACTTGTTGCTCTAGCATTACCTTCGTCCATTGGAATCTCTTATTTCCAACTAAAAAAGAACATAACTATTCAGGTACCACACTCTAACTTGTGTAACTGAACATAAATCTCATTAGTCATGCATAATTTCTTGATCCAGACAACGAACCAACTATTTTGCATGAATGCTAATGATAATACTTGACTGGGTAGGTGTTGTTATGTAAAGTGGAATTCAAATAGGCGTCTCTGTGATTGAAGTTCAGTTGTTCTAGTTGTCCTAGGCATCGAAACTAACCAGATTCACTGAACTGAAAGGAAACTACTGTCTATCGAATGATCCTATGAGAAAACATTTCTGAACAAATTACTTTACCGATGACTTGTCTCCCCAAATGACCTGGTCATTTAAAGGTTTGTGTCTTCATACCGGATAATAACAGTAAGGAATAGCTGCGGTGTAAGCTTTCATTCAATGGCATCATGAAGTACACAAGGATATAACTTCTTGAGTCTCTTATTCCGGGATCCTACTTATTGTGTCAATTCAATATGACATAGCTAACCCTAAGACCTATTAAATATATTTTACATTTTGCAATAGTCCTTAACTGGCAATTTAAGTTGTATTGCAATTCACTATCTCTTGTTATACAGTTTCCCGTATCCTTCATTATAGGCCTTTACAAGAAGCGAAATCGGTAAAACAACGTTTCGACGATTTGTTTGCTTCATCACGTTATGTGAAAGCACTGGATGCCATTCGGAAGTGTAAACAAGACAATGTTAGTTGTGAAACTTAGTAGCATTCAGAATTTTTCTTTCAATAATACGTGAATCAAGAGTTATACTTTTGATTTGAATTATAACGTTAGTTTTATTTAGGTATTTTACAAAAGGTTGTTCTTAACTTTCGAGACACTTCACAAATATTTCAAGTTTTTAAATTTAAGTGTCTATGAGAGTGCTTAACAGTCTCTGATCTGATAAATAATATTAGGTTTTGCTCGGTCGATATTCTTACGTATATCGTAATAATCTGTTTCTTAGACACTTTTAGGGGAGGTTAATAGCTCGATTTTTATATAAGTTCTCATCTTAATATTGTAATTTTAACCTTACATGGTAAATATGACGGATAACTTATCATAATATAGTTTTAGGGTTGTTCTGTTTCCCAATGTCGGATCATGCCAGTGAAGAATTAAGTGCGTTTAGGTACTGGAGTTCTGTTAGACTTTTTAATATATTCCACGTCCAGCTTTTATTTTCAGTTTAATTAATTGATTTGTCAATTATTTATTCGAACACAAACACTGGTTCAAGAGGGCACCAACCACATATACGCCACACATTAACGATGAAGTTGTGAAGAAACAGAGGGTTAACATTAAATGCACAGCCATTTTCGTTTTTTTTTCGAGTGAAATTTTTTTCCATCCCTTTTGGAACAATTTTTCATCCCCATTTTCATTCTGTTTCGTCCAATCAAATAGCTAGTTTTGAGTTCATTTTTATTGGTCGTTTATTTCTTAAAATCGATATAAAATGCCCGGACTTGATGACAGAGCACATTTTCCTCCAATTATGAACGGTAGTAACATGCAAAGTACGAACTCGGTCGTTCCTCACGTTGTTACAGAAACCGATATTTATGTGTTCAAATAAATAAATAAAGCCAGATGCTGCTTCCAACTCGTCAGTATGCTTTGACTGCCAGGCTTTCCGGTCATTATTTATTATTATTTTATTTATTTGAACACATGAATATTGGTACAAGAGAGCGCCAATATATATGCGCCACACAAAACAATGAATTCGAAGAGAAATAGAAAGAAAGAAAAAAAAACTAAGGAGCGCAAAAGAAAAAGAGAACAATAACGAAGAGATTGGTGTAAGGTAGTGTGGTAGTAACGAGGGAACGAAAGGTACAATCAGAAGAAATCTTTCAGGTAAGGAGACACAACCACTTTTTATGAAGAAAGTAAAAGAAGGTTACAGCAGGATCGCCACTGGCTTCTATTCTGAGCCATATCTGATAACGTCTCTAGCCACTGTGTAGCACCATCTCTCAGACCCCAACCAGGGAGTCGTGAAGGACCAACACAAGCCAGTCCTTTGCAGCTTTCTTTCATGCCACGACACCATGTCATGCACTGACCACCTCTCCGCTTCTTCCAACCAGTCCCAGAGTCGGCAAATAATGCACGACGTGGAATTCTCTGGGACGACATTCGGAGAACATGTCCAAGCCACCGAAGTCGGTGTTTCAAGATGGTGACACCAATTGAATTATCATCTCTGTGCCCGAACACACGATGCCGAACCTCTGCATTACTGACATGGTGTTGCCACTGAATGTCAGCAATCCTTCGGAGACAGCGATGATCGAACACAGAGAGTCGTCTAACGTCCTCAACTCGGAGAGGCCAGGTTTCACAAGCATAGAGCAAAACTGCTCTCACCGACGCGTTGTAGATCCGACCTTTTACAGCCAGACTAACATCACGAAGGCGCCAAAGGTGGCCCAGATTGGCATAAGCCGCTCTGGCTTTCACTATTCGTGCATTGATCTCATCACTCACACCCCCACCAGCACTTATGCAGCTACCCAGATACACGAACTTCTCAACTACGTCTATCTGCTCACCATCCAGGGTGAGTACAGGATTAGAATCCTGCCAGTCTTGTAGAAGTACTTTGCACTTCGAAGGTGCAAAGCACATACCATACCTACGGACACTGATTGCCAACTGATTAAGTGCGGATTGCATGCCTTGGGCATTATCGCACAGTAAGACAATATCGTCCGCATACTCAAGGTCGAGAAGTCTTTCTCCAGGCAACAGATCCACACCACCATTACTTACATTCATCAGAGCTGTTTCCAGAATGTCATCGATGGCAAAGTTGAAGAGGAATGGTGAGATTGGGCAACCCTGCCTAACCCCACTGCTCGAATGGAACAATGGAGAGAGGTGGTTGTATGCCCTCACTCTGCCTGAGGTGTTTTATATAGGGCTTTTAGGATGTTAATAAACTTCTCAGGCACACCCTTCTTCAATAGACAATCCCAGAGAACAGTCCTGTCCAACGAATCGAAGGCAGCCCTGATGTCAAGAAACACTACGATTGTTGGCCTTTGAAAAGTATGGCGGTGTTCTAACATTTGGCGGAGGGTGAAGATATGATCAATACATCCTCGACCAGAACGAAACCCAGCCTGCTCCTCGCGAGTCAATCTTTCTCGGGTTTTGAACAACCTACGAAGTATGACGGAAGCCAATAGCTTGGACGCAATCGGAAGTAACTTATCCCCCGATAGTTGTTACAGGAACGACGTGAACCCTTTTTAAAGATAGGGACAACTATCGACTCATTCCATGACGTTGGTACACTCTCTAGTTCCCAAACCTTTGTAAACAACGTCGTCAATTCCTTAGTCAAAAAGTCACCACCATCTTTAAAAAGAGCCGGAGGTAAGTCATCTGGGCCAGGTGATTTGTAACGCTTCAAGAGTTGGAGTTCCTTGCGGACTTCCTCCTCGTTTGGTGGATCAGTCGTCACCGGCCATGGAGGGCAGGACAGTCTGACCGATGTTGCCGGAGCAGCAGGCCAGTTGAACTGCCCTTCGAAAAATTCTGCCCATCGTCCAAGACGTCGATGGATGTTAGTGATTGGCATCCCATCATCCTCGCAGATTGTTTCACTCACACCAGACTTCTTGCTGCCAGTGGCTCGGATGAGCTGGAAGAGCTTCCGGTAGTTACCAGATGCAGCTGCTGCTTCCAGCTCATTAGCACGCATCGACCACCAGGCTTCTCGGTCCTTACGCAAGCTTTGCCCAATTTCCTTACGTAACATCCTTCGTTTATGGTCAAACTCACGGTCACCCGGAGTAGACCGACGGGCTTCAATGAGTTGTAAGGAACCAGAAGAAACCCAGTGCTTAAAAGCGGGACGTTTCGCAAACCCACAACTGACTGTTCCCGCCATTTTCATGGCGTCATGCAATTGCAACCAATGCTCATCTATACTTTTCGGTGGAGTGGTAGCTAGCCTAGAGGCTAGCTCGGTTCGATACTTACTTGCAACAGAAGTTGCAACCAGCTTGCTAACATCAATCCGTTGATGGCGTCACTTCGTTGTCCACTGAAAAGTAAGGCAAGATTGGCGCAGACCAAGGCATGGTCAGAGTCCAGATAGGTACTCCAAAAGGAGCGGCAGTCTTGTACACAACCACGCCAGCGGTAGCTGATCGCGATGTGATCAATCTGAGTCCAGGCTTGAGATGCAGAGGGAGGACGCCAGGTGGCACATCGGCGATGACTGTGCCGAAAGTTAGTGCTAGCCAGAAACAGGTTGTGGTCTGTGCAAAGTTGCAGTAGACGGTCCCCGTTATCTGACCTGCGACCAACGAGTCCCCATCGGCCACCTAAACGACTCTCTTCTGTGCCTAGACGCCCGACCTGAGCATTCAAGTCTCCGGCTAGTACTACAATATCTGTCGAACGCACTTTCTGGAGAAGAACAGTAACTGGTGGTAAAACTCATCCTTGATTGCATCCGGGCTGCAATCTGTCGGGGCATAGGCGGAGATGACGAAAAGACATCGTTTCTCACGCCGATTTCTTCTCACTTTGATGGAACCGACTGTTAATGGGGATCCAATCGACTAGTGCTGCCTCAGCTCTAGCGCTTAGTGCGACACCAACGCCAGCAAGACCAGACGAAGATGCCACAGGGTCCCCGGATAAGCGCACGTAAAACAAGCTTTTCGAAGCGACAGATGGAGATCGAATTTGTAGTACTTCGCCAGAGTCTTGAATACGGGTCTCGGATAGACAACAAACATCGATATTAAGACTTTCCAAAGACATAGCCAGCCCTATCTGTTGTCCGACCTGCATAAATGTGCGAACGTTGAAGGCAGCCAGTTTGAATGGTGCACGTGGTTTCAGAAAACTGCTTCAGTTCTCGTATTCGGTGTTAACATACAATTTTCCGGTCATTACGCAGGCTTTGCACAATTTCATTACGAAACAACCTCCGTTTGTCGTCATACTCGCAGTCACCTGAAGTCGACCTACGTGCTTTTATCAGTTGTGAGGAGCCTGTAGAAACATAATGTTTATAAGTGGGACGTTTCTCGAAGCCACAAGCGACTTTATTTGTTATTTCCATGGCGTCATGCAATTGCATTCAATGCTCATCTATACTTTTAATTGGGCTAATAGTTAGCCTTGAACCTTGTTGAGTTTGATATTTAGTTGCAACAGAAGCTGCAACCAATTTGCTGACACCAATCCTTTTAGGGTGATGAATTTGTTGTCCACTGATGCGTAAGATGGGATTAGCGCAAACAAGCGCATGATCATAGTCCACATAAGTACTCCTAAAGGAGCAGCAACTCATGCTAGCAGCACCAGACGAAGATGCCACAGTGTCCGTGTATAAACGCGCAAAAAACAAGCTTTTCGAAGTGACAGATGGAGAGCGAATTTGTAGTACTTCACTAGAGTCTTGAATACGGGTCTCAGATAGACAACAGATATCGATGTTGAGATCTTCTAAAGTCATAGCAAACCCTATATGTTGCCCGGTCTGCGTTAGTGTGGGAACTTTGAAGGAGGCCAGTTTGAATGGTATACGTGGTTTTCGAAAGGCTGGTCCAGTATTGGTAGTCGGTGGTGGCATTCAACTTTCATCCAGTCAATGACTTGAGATCGTTTGGATAGGAAAAGGTTTCCACCATAAGTAAACTGCTGTACAAGTTGAAAAATAAAAGAATGCACAAAAATATACAAGTGATGTAGTATAAAAAAATAAACGAATGTTACCAAACGATTTTGAATGTGATTTGTCTAATTGCAAATTGAAGCGAGAATAACTTTTTCAGTTGTAATAATGATTTTATTTGTGTGTGGGCTAGGATACTTTCTATGCTCCCAGACTGAAGAAAATGGTTTTCTCAAGGGGCCAGTCGCCGAGCCTTTGACCTTGAGGTCTAATCCACAAGGCAGTGGATCAACGTTAGGAGGTGCAGTCAAATAGTATCGATTGACCATGCGCACCACTGGTTTGGAAACAGAGTCTTCTAAATCCTCTAGGTAGATCTTCCGTACCCATCAACCCGGTTAGAGCACCGAACACTAGCTTTTCGTTTTCTCAATTTCGTAGACAACACCGCCTCGAGAATGAAGTGGGTAGGACTTCCCTGGCAGTGACTGTATACGCATGGTTATGTGAGAGTATTTCGAAAGTTAAAGCTGACTCGCCCCACTCTCGACCTGGATGCCTATCCCTTAGTTTAATAACGAGTTTGATATTGGAAAAAAGTAAAGCAGGTTTAACATAGACTCATAATCTATATTATTCAGCGTATTTTAAATGTACAATATTGTCAGTGTTACCTATTCAAATAAGTTCTCATAGGTCGGTGTTCAGGCCCAGATGGTTCAATCAACTTGCTTGATCGCAAATAGTGTTTAACGTATTGACCGAGAGACTGTTAATAATAATTTTATTTAATTTTGCCGTGATTATAACATAGTCGTATGTACTAAATGTGATTTTTCAGTCGTATAATAACAATGGCTACAAATTACCGTGTATATTATTACGTCCGGAATAGGTTTTTTTATTAATGTATTTTATTTACTAAGAAATGGTTTTTGAGCCTGTAGGCTGCATCTACTTCAGTTTAAATGGTGGTGGTAATTTAGTTAACCGTCACAGTCTCCGTCCAGTTCATAGTTTAATATATGTTGCTCAAGGGTTATGGCAACTTGAGCATGTACACACGTACCAGGTTCTACGTTGGAACTAACTGACCGACTTAATGTGTAGATAATTGTTAGGTAATTGAATTAAAGTTCACTTCTTTTTTCCTTCATGATTTTCAAATTTCCGGATCTTCACTGAAAAAAAAGAGTTAAAATTCCCCTTATCATTTTGTCTTTATAGTATCAGTAAGTCATTTCCCAACTTCCGCTTAAAAACTTTTTCATTCATTTTTTTTTGTTTGTTTTACTGAACACCGATTTAAACAAGTCGATTAAATAAATAACATGTAATTCTTCTTTATTGAAGTCTAATTGAATAACACCTAACTAGTGTAGTTATTACCTGGTTTTGCACTGTATTTTCTATTTCTTTTCTATTATGAACTAATTAGTACAATGATTTTTCTGTTGCCTTTAAATTCTTGCTAATTTCTCTTTCTACAGGATGGTAATGTTAAATTATATAAAACTGAGTTGAAACATTTAACCAAAAATCGTGATGAAGCTTTGAAAGTAAATCATTTTTATTTCTATTCGTTTATGTTTAAATTTGCACAAATTGTTTGATGGTAGAAGGCTGAAGGAGGAATTATTCTCATAATATTTTATAGTGAAAATCTAACATTCATGTAATCATAAATGGTATTCGTTTTTATTTGAACTATTTATTTTCCATTGGTTTTATAGTATTTCAGGTTTCTAGATGACAATAAAAATGTTAGTTTAATCTATCCTTCAGATTATAGGTATCAATGCCAAAGGTTGACTTGATAGTTTCAAATAAATTATTATTATTATTATTATTAGCTTTATTCAATATTATATTATTGGTACAATATAGAATTCTCAGCACAAAGTATTTCAACAAGTTTCCGTTTCTTTCTTCTTGGTTGGTCCTCGCGATAAATACTGAGTGGTCGCCAGCTAGATGTTATCAGTCCAGTAAATGAACATGGGAATGATGTACATTCTTTTCGTTGTATATTGCCAGCAACCATATTCTCTCTTTTTGAGCTTTTTGTAACTTTAATAACGAAAGGTTGTACATTTTTCAGAAACGCAGCAGTATAGGTTGTGCGATTAATAGACATAATGATATATTAAAACAAACAAAGATAGATAACTTGTTGAAATATCTAGATGGCAGGAACAGGTAGCCCAGATGCTCAAGCAGGCCGCCGAAAAGCATTGGGTAAAAAGTTAATAATAAGATATATTTTTGTTGTATCCCAGTGAGTTGAAAAATTGTACTTCTGACGTTTGGTGACTTGATGTAAGCCACTTCTTTAAAGTGCATAAATAATTTGATTTGGTTATTTATTTACTCTGAAAAAGTGGCTTACATTAGGCCACTAAACGTCAGAAGTATGATTCTTCTACTCATTAGGATAAAGAACAAAATATATTTATTATCTTTTAGAATAATTCAGTTCTTTTGCTCAAGGTTAAAACGAACCAATTGACTTAAGTTGTACACAACGCTTTGATGTATTGTCTTGATTGTTGAATATTTATATATAGTCAACTGAGTTTTTTTCATCGACATAATCTGTCATCGTGAAAGATTTGTTCATATTTTAGCGGTACAGTGTGATCGTTTTGGTAAACTGAATTGACTTTAGTCTTCAAATAGTCATATATTTCTTTATCATTCTAAAGATTCTTCCTGATATATGAATTTTTTGGTGATCGTTCTCTCATATGTAACACTATGTATCCTATGGTTTATATTACAGACCGATTCTAGTTAAAAAAGATACCAATTGAAACCAAGAAACAATGAACAGTTGCCTCATCCTAACATGAGACTCACACCCTCACCGGTGTCGAAGTTAGACATACTGTTGAATGCTATTTCAGTGGTCGAAAGGTTAAATACTCACCATGGGACCGGGAGATCCTTTGTTCTATCCCAAGGGGGTCGTGAATTGAGACTTGTGACAACTCCTATACTAATACACAACAGTTGTCCTGTGCTTCCCGGTCTTAAATTGTTGTTTTACTAAAACCAGTTCGTTATACAGATTGCAGAACTCAACAATTTCCACAACAACCTTTAATAAGAATTCAATATGTAGTTGAATTATGGAATATTTGGAAACATTCCAATTGATATTAATCTCGTAATTGTAAAATTCTACATTTCTTATAACTTGATATCTGAAGTATTTATGGCATTAATCGTTAATAATTTTACTATGAGTGGAATTCTATCATTAAAAGAAATATACATATTCATGTATATTGTTCTATTTCAGCTTCGTTCTGAACGAGAAGAAACACTTCATTCAATTGAAAAACAGGAAAAAAATCTAGAAGAAATGTCTGCAAAGCTCCAACCTGTTGTTGTAAGTAGAGTCAACTATTCGCTAATTGATTATTATTTTTTTATTCATGTTAAGAAAATTAGATCACTAACTTGTTCCTTCATATTCGAAGGTAGTTTCACTTTTAACTAAATATAAATGAAGTAAGGCATATTTGTCACACAATCAGTTGCATAAATATGAAAAAATTGTCAAAGTCAGCAAGACCTAACTTTTAAAATACTTATTGGCTGTCAAGAATTTTGATTAAAGCTGCTTAAAACTCAACTTGGGTTTACTTTATCTATTTATCACACAAAAAATACCTTATACAACACAACATTGAGAAATAGAGTGTTCGACATGAGTAATTATTCATAGCATGTCAAAATATTCTGAACAAATCGTAACAGTTATTATATTATGAATTTTCGACTATATGGGACGTTGTCGTTTTACATATTACCAACAAGTGTACTTTTCAGCCTCAAAACTATCCCGGAATATGTTTCAGTATTGTTTTCACTTATTGTAACGAAATAATCTTTCCGCGGTTTTCTAGGAATCTTTATTTGGTCGTCTAAACAAAACCATTGAAAAGTAACCGTGTGATTTAAAAAAAAACAACGATTTCGAGATCCATATGTAGAGATTATGTCACTTTTAAAACCTAAAATCTTGTAATAAATCTAAATTCCTTTCAATGTTCTGGAGTGCACTTAAATATATATTATTAGCTTTATGATACAATCTACTAAAGACGAGTTCCTATACTGTGTCTTAAGTCTTTCGTATATGCTGAAGCATATAATAATAGCTGGTGACTTGGTTGCGTTGATCAGTATCTACCATACCTTGTTGTTATTTGTACATTAGAATAGTGATTTTTATTTTAGTTTTCAGTGGCGTATTGTTTTCTGAGCTAGATGGTTTGGTCGTGAAGCTTTCATCGTCCTTCTGAACGACATCATTAGCACCAAATTCAGGTAGAAGTGAAGTGTTCGAATTTCTCTACGTATGGCTCACAGCTTGTCCTGTAGACCTTGATGTTGATTGGTTATTGTTGACCTTTAACCTATCATTGTTTACTTTTTTATTTCGATTGTATTTCCATTGGTTTGATTCTTGGCCTTATATTTGTCCATAATTTTTGTGATCAGTTGATAGATTAGATCAGTTTCAATGTGTTTGATGATTACCGACTGACCTGAGTGCCAAGCTTCTAAAACATTCTTTGGTGTTTTTACAATTACCTCTATCCAAGATCTCAACATTTTTTCAATCGAATGTGTGTCCACAGTTTTCCAGACTCATTTATATAAGCGAGGATATTTCATGGCATTAGACCGCCGATTGGCGTTCATGCAGGTGAATATGAAAAGAGCGTCCACTTTGTCCGATGTGGTGTTTTTCGCAGTTGAAACAATTTATTTTGTAAATTATTTTCAGTTCTTTTTCTTTTGTCATTTGGTTGGCATAAGACTGATTGAATCGATTTTGTTGGTCTCTATGCTACATCTATTCTAAAAGACCTCAACACTCTCGTAATTTCTGATATGTCTTTTATGTATGGTAGGATGATCCGTCTGTTCGTTTCTGTAATTGACTTGTTTCTGCTGATACGTTTGGTTGGTATTTTTTGATAAAATTGATTCGGTAATCGTTCCTTTGAATGATAGTCTCTAGATATCTTTTTTCATTTTTCCGCGATGCAAGTGTGTAGCAGTGTCTCCTCGTCCTCTTGAATAAAGTTTGTACGCCGTTAATTGTGTGAATTCTTGGATTGTTGCTACTGTGATTGAGAATTTGAAATGTGTGGACCAGCTTCCGGTATACTTGAGTCTCCAGTTTTCTTGTGTTGGTTCTGCCGATTGATACATCTAAGAACTATAACTTGTTGATTGGCCCTCGTTCCATTGTGAAGTTTGTGTCATCGAAGACGTTGTTGACCAGATTGTAGGTGTTTTCCAGCTCGTCCTTTTAGACGATGACGAATGTGTTGTGTTATAACTATACAAAGCTTACATATTGATGAAATTCAGTATGAAGATTTATCACAGCTTGCTAGAAGTCTATCCCAGTTTATCGCAGTTGACTTCAGTTGGGACTAGAAGTTATTCTTTATACACAGACGAGTCTTGTCCGTTACCGAGGTGTCGTTTATAGTCATACGACTTGTCTTGCCATTTCATCGGTTTTCCCTGTAACTACACTTCTCATTTAGCTAATATTATTTACGTTAGAATTTTTAAGGGATTAAAAGGTATTTTGATAATTCTACTTTGTTGACTAATGCTATGTTTGTGGGCACAATTCAACATTGCTACGCAAACTATCCTTTTGATCTGAAACTGAGATAATAACTTGAGTGGTTTCAAATCTTGGGATAAACATGTTTCGATGTGGTGTACTCGGTTTAGGAGTGTTCAGCGATTGGAGGGTAAACGGTTTCTTGTCAATATATAGCTATTAGATTCACGATGACTTTTGACTATATATTTGCACATTCATAACAGAATAGGACTCGCTTTAGATTTTAGTACTGTAAAATAGTTTGAAAAATCGTTCGTTTATAAGAACACTATAATGTTCTTCCAGGAATGTTCCTTTCCTATCCTTTAAATGAGATTGTTTTGCTTAGTTTTGACATCTAGGAAAGTTTATAATCAAGTGTTCGGTTTACATTTTACATACCAATAAATTTCATTTAATTACAGTCGATACATGATTGAAGCTAACCCCCTCCAAAGTTTATTTTAAAATTGAACGGGTAACTTTTAAGCCGTGACCAGTGGAGTTCAACTGTGTCGGGTGTGAGGCAGTTACCCACCGAAGACAATGGAATATGGTCGTGCAGTTCCGTGAATTGGTTAAAGTTAGACATTAACACCATTGCATCTCGGCTCAACTATCTAGAGGTTGGGCGTTTGGGCGCGAGTCAGAAGGTTTTTGGTCTGAATCCCGCGTGCGGAGTTGTGGACGCACACTGCTGGGGAGTCCCATACCAAGACGAAACGGTCATCCATCGCTTCCAGGTTTCCATTGGTGGCCTAAGATTGATCGGCTCATGATCTCAACTTAAAATTCTAAGTTATGTATCTGTCAGCTAATGTACAAGATTTACTTATGAGGGTTATCCTGTATAATTTAATCACTAGCTTTGAACTTTTTATCTTAAAAGATGAGTATTATAACACTGTTTGTAAATTAATAGAAAATTTATTTTTGGTCTAAAGGAACAACTCAACCGTTATAAAGAACGCTATGCAGAACTAACAAAACTACAAGCTGAAATCAGTAAGTTTTTTTAACATTTCCATTTTGTATGAATACCGAGGCTAGAGTTGGTAGTTTCAAATAAATTGAGCACTTGGTTAGAAGGTTAATGATAATAATAATAGTACTTATTATTATTATTATTACTATTATTATTATTATTATTATTATTACTATCATAATTTTATGATATCAATCAGTAGAAATTTGTATTCCTGACTTTTCGTTTCTTTTATGCCCATAACTGTCATTTTCGATGAATATGTAAAATCTAAATTTTATGTATCTTGTTTCCTAGAATCGACCGGAAAATAATTGATATTTATGTTCATATTACTTATATTATTAAATGTGTTTCATTTATTAATCATTAAAATTCGAAAGAATGAGATCTGGTTTAAGATCCTCCTGTATACTATAACTGTCTGTTCATTTTAGTGTTTTTAAACTAGAACTCGTTAACAAATTGAATCTTTTTAAAAAAATTTTGCAGAGTCTTGTGAAGCTGAACGTGCTCATTTAACAGACACAATAAAGAATTTAATGTTAAACATACAGAACGAGTATCAAGGTAACAATTCCAGTAATCTACTCAATTTTACCGCTGTTTTCTTGTTGTTTGATAGCCTCTCGTAACCACTGTTATTAATTATTGCGCAGATGTTAATTTTCAGCTTTATTATACCATTCAGGAGATTCAGACAATACAATATTGTCTGTTTGTAATCTATATGTACGTCTGGACAGGCTATAACCAGTCTGGTTGTATGCTTGAAATCCCGATCTCAACTACTGAACATTCTCATAGTATATCTAGCCTCCTTCAACTTTTGTGATTTAAGAGTTAGCGTACAAATATTTGTTTGTTTGTTAAGCACCATTTAAACTATTTACAGAGAACCCAATCTTTTCATTATCTTTTTGAAGTTGTACTACCGTCAGATCGCTAAGTTAATATGTAGTGGTCTATCCTTCTCATCTTAATCAATAATGGTTACTTTTTATACAAATAATGGTTCCCAGATAGTTTTGATTATTACTTGAGTCGATTTTGACTTATTATGAAAAATAATCAACAATTAATAGAATAGATCTGTGGAGATTGTTGAATTTTATAGTTCAGTCAGTCAGTCAGTAAAAACGTAGAACTTCGTACGTACGTACATCAGTTCGAGTTGCCACACCACATTAGCACACAGATGCAGTGGTCGATTCAAATCACACCATGAACTAACTTTAATGCACACTGGCGACTAATTTCAAGAGGTAATCCTCTGAGTTTTCGTTAGGATCCGTGATCAGCGGCATTCAACCATGTTGAGTGTGAGACAGCTATACATCAACACTGATAAAGATGTCTGCACAATATTACGGATTGATTAAAGTTAGATGTGTAAACCATTGGATGCCGGCTCAGTGGTTTAATGGTCAAACACTCCTCATTAGACCTGGAAATAGTGAGTTCGATCTCGTGTAGGGTCGTAGATGCTAGCTACTGAGGATTCGCATTTTAAAATAAAATAGTTGTCCAGTGCTACTGCGTTTTTTTATGGCTGTCTAACTAAGTTTAGTCTTCTGTCAGCTGTAACCAATAATAATCATTTAATTTACTGGAAATTATGCAATTAAATTCTGATCTGTAAACACTCCAATATTTGTCTGATAATGTTCTGTAGCCTAGTTCTTTTTATTAAAGGAAGTGATGAAGAATTAAAGCGTTTGATTGAAGATGCTGAGACAGAATACGAAAAGAAAATTTTTCTGTTGAATCAAGTTAGTGTATTTTATCTTCATACTGTCAATGAAATGTATAATGACTTTCATTTATCAGTAAGGGAATTTGTGGAGAATGTAGTATTTTAACAGTTGAACTCACGAGCCGATCTAGGCTAGACTACCATTAAAAACCTGGAACAACTGGACGGCCGCTTCGTCCAAGTGTGGGACTCCTCAGCAGTGCCCATCAAGGTTTTCAACGGTGATCTAGCTTTGATCGACTCGTGAATTTAACTGTCAAAAGGCTTATCTAGCTTATTGTAATACCATTGAACTCATTATAAATAGACAAATAGATGCACAATTACTAATTTTCATTACAAAGACTCAATAACACTAAACACATCCACAATGAATATCACTTATTTGTTTAACCTTAAAACTTTCTGCAGTGAAACTGTTCATATTTATTTATTTATTCTTTTGTCGTGACCCATCAGTAATATTGCTAATAATTTTACTGAATTTTCTCTAGCCATATCAATTAGAAAGAAATTAGTTTATAAAGTTTGGAAAATTAAAACTAAGTCAAGTATATTTCGCCTAACATTCAAAGTGGCTTGTTGAATATGGTGTTTGCTAATGGTTTCGATTGGGGAATTCTGTTTACTGTCATGACATTCCAGGCAGTTTTTTGGTTCTTCATCAAGAATATGTAATTTCATGATTATCATACGTCCTCTGTGTATACTCATTCATTTGTTTTTCATTAGCTTCACTTCTCATATCTCATTTGTTATTTAACTTTCCAGTCTGAAAATATATTACAAAGAAAACATAAAGAGTTAAATACTTTGGAAACGAACCAAACAAAAACTATTGTTGAGAAAACACAAATTGAAATGGAGGTTAAGGTAAAATGGTTTGTGTATTTTCTCTTCTGAATATACTGTATACTGGATCATTTTGTGTGAATTCCTTATTCTATTCATTTTTTTGTTGTTGCTAGAAAATGCTGACTAATTCTTTTGGTTTCTCATGACTCTGTACTTTTGTTGAAAAAAAAGCATTGTAACATTAAGAAACAAATCCAACATTTCGCTCGGTACAAACTTTCTCAAGGAGATGTAATAAAATATCAAAATTACCGAATATAAATAACCTATGACTTTCAGTCACTGAGCGGGAATCCAACGGTGTTAATTTCTACCTTCAACCAAGTTGCGATGTTGCACAACCGTCTCCCATTGTTTTCAGTGGGTGACCACCTCACACCCGACACGACTAAACTCCCCTGGTTATGGCTTCTCACTTAAACTCAGAGAATTCCCTCTCAAAGCTATCCAATAGTGAACACGTGATAATTTGCAGTTTGAGGTTGTGAAAGTCTCTAAATTTCACTGAAATCGTGAACTGATCAGTGTTAGACCACTATTTGAAATCTGGAAGCACTGAATAAAGTTAGACATTAACACTTTTGGGTGCCGGCTCAATGGTCTAGAGAGGTTAGGCGTTTGAACCGCGTGTGCGAGATCGTGGATGCTCACTGCTGACTAGTCCCATACTAGGACGTATTGTGACTTTATGTCCGGCTTTTTATCACGTGATTTATCCACCAATCAAAATAAGACTTATACAATCTTAGCACTGTACCAAACCAATGACGTTCGACCAGTATGAGCAGCCTAACGTCCTTATTGATCCTATGTTCGTCCACTTGAGTCCAGAACACCAATACCAGCTTCCACTATGCGAATCGAATCGAATCATTTATTTCAGACATACTGAGTTTATATATCAAACAAACAGACCGCAACGCACCATAAAATAGGAAATAACATTTGTACACAATAAAGCCAAAAAGTGGCTGCGAACGTGGGAATCAGTAGTCAATAAGCTGAACATAGCTTAAGAACAGTAAATAGTACAATAATAATATATAGTTCAAAATAAAGCTTATAACAAAGGGAATATAGATATACCTAATCTAGTTACTGAATATTTATACCATGAGAATATATAAATAATATTAGTCCATTAATAAGTCTCAGACGTTACTCGTAATGTAATCTTCACTAGGATATAACAGGACGAAACGGCCATTCGGTGCTTTAAGATTTTCATTGTTGGTGCAGCATTGATTAGTTGATTATTTCGATGAAATTTAGCAATCTCCATAACCCAAAATCGAAGAAAATGCATAAGTACATGGTTCTCCAGTTAACTGTATACCATACAGGTCATCCAATCATGTGAACAATGTTGGAAGTAAGAATTTGTTGTACGTACAGAACATCCAATGTGTAAAGAAAAGTGTGTCAAGATAACAGTTGTATGTATATACAAGTGGATCTGAGGTTAACGAAAAATGTCACTGACTATATACCACCTCTGATTGGCGAATTTTTGATGAAATCGATTAACTTTATAGATAATGTAAGTCAAGCATTTCTTAGATTGCGTAAAATGAAGGTAAATAAATAAAAATAAATGTTTGATCAAATATTTGATCATATATTTAGATAAATCAACTGTTCAGAACAGCTGAAGGTAGTTGTTCAGTTAATAAGTGAGATTAAATGGAGTAAAATGTAATAGGGAGTTCGGGTTTACTTATTAATTGTTAGTCACCCCATGGTAACTAATTGTAATCCATCTCTCCTAGTAATACTTTTTGGATGAATCGTATGAATAATCTATGCAGTTACAGTATGAATACAATCAAGATATATCTTATTTTGAGGAAAAACATCTTACTGTTTATGAAAAGTGTATTTAAAAACTATCACAGGATCGTCACTACCTTCTAGTCCAAGTCATGTTGGAATACGTCTCAACTAGCTGAGTTGCAAAAACTGTATAACTGTATCTAGAGATTTGCAAATTCAGTGTAACTGCCTTATTCTAGTGTTATCTGTTTAATGAGTTTTAAACTAAGCTTTGATCGTATTTTTATCGTATATCGGTAGATTAAGATTACAAATTAGTGTTATCAGTTGTTAAAGTGCATAAATTCTATTTAGTGTTGATTATGTTTCAAAAGATAAGAGTAATTTTTAAGTTTAGCCTAATTATTATTTTAAATTTTTATCTCCGTCCATCATAAAGTATACTATCTTAAATTTCTTAGCGTTTGAATGAAGCAATAATCAATCGTGATATGATCTTAGCCTCGATCGTTACAAATTACATTCCCGGTATGTTTTAATAATTCCCTTAAGTTATACGAAAATTTAATCGTGTCTAAGAAATTACAATACAAATAAATTATTTTCTAATAAATTATTCAGCATCATTTTTGTTTTCAAGAAAAAAAATTTTTTTAAAATTACATTATAAAACAATTAATTCAATGGAATTCTATTCAACAAGTTCATCTGTACCAGAATAAAACAACTGTTCATTTACTTCCATGTTTTCAATAGTATTAAAATTGAAGTCAATTCATGAAGAAGAAAATGATCTCCAAATTGTTTATTTTTAATTAATACAAATGATATTGAGTAATGATGAGGTTGAATCAAATATCAATGAGAGAGGGGGGGTATAATATGACAACCATTAAGGTAAAAAGAAGAGTAAATCTAGCATTAACTGAATAGTTGAAATAAAAGGCATATCATCTAAATGATAATGAACAATTAAAAATTCTGTTTGTTTAAAATGATTGTTTACCTTCGAACATTGTTCCTTTTATCGAATTAATTGTTACATAGTTTGTTATAAGTTCTCTGAGTTAGTTAATGTATAAAATAAGGTTTATTTATTTACTTAAACATATAAACATTGGTACAAGGAGGCACCAAATGTATATACGCCACACAAATCATTCGATTTCTGTAAGTGCTAAGATATTGTCAGGGCGCCCGAATCGAAGCAGGTGGTTTCCTTGGGTGGCCAGTCCCGAGCCCTTGACCTAGAGGTCTTATCCAAAACTCAGTGGATCAACGTTGGGAGGCGCAGTCTCACGGTGGCCAGTGACCAACAATAGGTTCATATCCCTTTTGTTCCGTCAGGATCCTGGAACCCATGTGCACCACTAGTTTGTGAACAGGGTATTCTAACTCCCCTAAGTAGATCTTCCGTACTCATTAACCCGGTTGGAGCACTGACCATTAGCTTTTCGTCCTCTCAATCTCGTAGACAACACCTCCGCCTCGAGAATGAAGTGAGTAGAACTTCCTTAGAAGTGGCTGTACACTCCAGACCTTGTGAGAGCATTTCGACTCCCTGCTCTCAACCGTACCGCATTAGGGGCATATATTTAAATAATGTATCATTTACATAAATGAAAGAGTTTTATTATATTTTTGATATACTATACACATAAATTGTCTCTGAAATCTGTTAATAGCAACAGTGTAGAAATGTCTATTGTATTACTTATTGTATTGATTCTTTTAACACTGAGTATTACTTAATATATGTATGTATTTCAGCATACTGGTCATGATGTTTTAATATGAATTAACTTAAATACTTCTTTTTACATACTGAAGATGATTGTTTCGTTATACATGTTGTTATTTATACCAGGTGATAAGTATGCAGACGTGAAGCAATTCACCGATGAGGATGTGGAGTATATTGTGCAGTTTGTTGATGGATTACTACATGAATATGAAAATCAATTAACAGAAGTGAAGGTAAGATTGTGCACTTCAAAATGTGTGGAGCACTTGATTGTTGTATATCTTCAGTATTTTTTTCTATGCTTTCTGTATTGCGTAGTTATGATGTACCACTTATGATTTTCTTATGAGGTTATTTTGTCCAACTAGATATAAAATGTTCGTTTGTCATTGGGTTGAAATGAGCTTTCAGTTTACAAAAGTGCCTGACACTTTGATGGTAGAAATTACTCCCTATACATACGGGCACTGATTGCTAACTAGTATGTTATTTAAGTAACCTGTATGTTGTTATATTATAAATTTTATTCTGGCATATAGAATCAATGGTTCTATTGTCTAGTCGCAATTCATAAAAACTCATGTTTTATTGAGTTTTAAGGTTAACCCATAAATTATAAGTGAATCTTCTGGTAGTTATTTATTTCCTTTGACTAACCAGTTAATTACAGCTGAACTAACAGGTTATTCATTTTCTATGGACAATATTATAAAATACAGCGGAATTTTTATTTTAATGTGGGGGATTTGTAGAGGCTGTAGAATTTTTCACAGTTTTAAATCACGAACTGATCATGTACTCACTAGTGACTAGCTTCAAGATAGATTTTCTGAAGATCTAGTAAGAAGCCGTGGTCTCTAGGGTTCAAACTTTGTTGGAAATGTTTCCACTGTCAAAATGGATAAGGGTTGATCAACATCATGAATTGATTGAACTTAGACATCAGCACCGTTGAATGCTGGGCTATCGGTCTAGAGGTTAGACGTTCTCACACGTGACTGCAGCTTCTGGATTCTATTTCTGGAAATGATATGGTTGTCTAGTGCTTTGGTGTTTTATAATGTTGATCTAGCTAAAATCAGTTTGAGATTTAAAATTGAAGAACATTTTCTAGAATCCATTCATCCTTTGACATTATTTTTTTTAAAGAATCGATGCACGATGTTTCCTGTTATTGTTATTTATCGATAAGGGTAATAAAATTTATTTTAACCACATCAAATTATGGTCCATAATTATTCTCTCAAATAAAAACACTCGGCGAGGCTATAATTTATAAACAAACCAACCAGATTTAAGATAACAGGTCTTGGATTTTGGCACGAAACCCCTTCATTCATTTGGCTGGATATCATTTTAGCATTATAACTGATGTCAGTTCGTAATGGAAACATTAAAGCTTGTTACTAACATTAATGTTCAACTATAAATCCTAATCCTAATTCCTCATACTAACCTGTGATCCTCATTTAACCATAGTAAGTAAGTGGACATTCCATGGTCATATTAGCGCTAGTCATAGGTCGTCCGTAAATTATAATCTCATCAAATGCTCAAGTGGAGATCATAAAATGTATATTTTATAACATTTAAAATGTATCAATTTTTTTATTATTCTTTGAAAAACTTTCTCATTTTATAGATATTCATTTATTTAATTTTTGTTTCAATTCTTCAAAAGCCTCCCTGAAAGACCATAGAAATTAAATTTTTCAGTTTTAATTTCTTCTGTTGTTCAGTACTACATTTTCACATTTTGTAGAGTATTTTCCTTTGATTCTATTGTTCCATTGAAAAATAAAAATTTAATTTTCTTAGAAAATTTTTCGGAATTACTTTGATATATTTCTTCCTAATAAAGCTGATGAAGAAAATAATTGTGGAAGAGTTTAGATGTTGTAGTTTTGTCGTTTCAAACGATTGCCTTTTGGTCGTTCTAACTTAAATGAATTGTGATTATTTTAATCCGTATGGTGGTGTTCGTAAATAGTTGGCTCCATCATAAAAATTCAGGGGCGACTTGGTAGGTACTTCTTCCTAGTATCGATCTCTTCTGCAGTTAGCATTCACAACCCACCAGGGATCAAAACCCAGGACCTTTTGGCTACACAGTGAGTGCCATACCACTAGACCACTTACGTATACTAAATACATATTAGGATGAAACACTTGAGATCAATTCGTGATGAATACATCACCTGCAGAATAATGAATTATCTTCTTCATACACATATCTTCTGAATAAAAGTATTTCTTTTCGTTGCATGAATTCTGAAATTATTACTTCTTTCAATGTTTTGTCTTTTCATTTAGCTGCTATCGGCTAATGAAGAGAGGAAAGCTCAAACTGATGTTGATGTTGTTCGAGATGAATTGGCTGCTCTAAAACAAAAAATACAAACTATAAAACGTAATTATGTATGCTAACGTTATTATATATTTTTTCTTCTATTTGGTGACGCAATTCATTATCTTTTATTCTTTAGTTGTCTTTATATACAAACTATTCTATGGATAAAATGATAATATTATTTCAGAAGAAATCACCATGATGATTCACATGTCTTTTGAAAGATATCGCTGCAATTGTTAGCAAGTATGAAGTAGAAAAATAGAGTACAAAAGGTTATGTTTTAATTACAATAGCTCTGGAACAGAAAAGATTATGACAGTGAATCATACATTAAACAAAAGCTTATAGTTTATAGAATAAACTAGGGATAAAACTAAATGTTAACATCCTACAAATTTTGAATTGAAATAACGTCTCAAAAATAGATTCCGTTATTTGTCATGGCATCGTTATTTCTCTGCTCATATCACATAGGTTCTTTACAAAAGATTAGCAAGTTTACATCAAGTCAGTCATATAAGAAATTGTATAAATATTTTTTCTTAAATTAGAACCACGATCATGTGAAATGATTAGTGTTGAAAAACGCTTAGAAAATGAACATTCATTAAATGAACGTATTGAAAAAGTCAGAGATCAATTTCATAAATCTGTAAGTGTTATAATCATGAATTAAGTTTATTTACTTATTTATTTTATTTTAACTTAAAGGGCGGCCTGCTTGAGCATCTGGGCTACCGTTCCTGCCATCTAGATATTTCAACAAGTTATCTATTTTTGCTTGTTTTAATGTATCATTATGTTTATTAATCGCGCAACCTATTCTACTGTGTTTCTGAAAAGTGTACAACCTTTCGTTGTCAAAGTTACAAAAACTCAATAATAGACAATGTGGTTGCTGGCAATATACAACGAAAAGAATGCACATTATTCAGATGTTCATTTACTGAACTACTAACATCTAACTGGCGATCACTCAATCTTTATCCCCAGGACCGACCAAGAAGAAAGAAACGGAAACTTGTTGAAATACTTTGTGCTGAGAATTCTATATTGTACCAAAAATCTAATATTGAATAAAGCTAATAATAATAAACAAATACTAAAATAAATTTGTCAGTTGAATTAATATTCGTCTAACTGCAATAAATTTTAAAACAAATAAATAATTCATTTTTGTACTGGTTGTTTAAATCTTATTATTGGTGTTTAAGACTGAAATTGATCTGTTTCTTATTGACATATATACATCCTGTACGGATTGCCTCGATATTGCCTTTAGTCACAAAGCATTATAAACAGAGAATAAAATAAACTTCATTCCATTACACAAGCTATTGGCTATCTGGAGTCTATAACTAAGTGGATAACTCGATGATATTTGAAGCGAATGTTACTGGGTTCAAGTCGCGGTGTAAATATCAACTCTGCAGGTCCATCCAGTGGACGAGTCCTAAACACGACGAAACGCGAGTTCTCGATTCCACTGTTAGCAACACTCCATCTTAACTCCTAAATAAAAAGTTCTTTTTACTTTAATCAAAACGGGTTAGTTAATTTTCATTGAGAGAAATCAACTGCATGATTTCTCAATAAACATTTCCTGGGACATTTTCAAACTTTTTTGTGATCAGCTGATGAATAAATTTTGATTCCAGTAAAAAGATCCCAAAACTAATCATGTTTACTATGAAAGCATTCTAATGCTTATTTAAAAATGTTACTTAATATATCAGTAGAATGCCTTATTATTGTTTATTATAAAATAATAATACAGTTTATATGTAAGTAGTTGAGCTAGATATGTTTCAACTCAGTTGATGACTGAAAAACGTATATTTAGAGTTATATTTAATCCAAAGTGCGTATTCTTAATAAGATAACTTTCATGCTCACTGTATTGTGTGGTTACGATGTTTGGGTGCATTTTAAAAATTTATCTTAGGATGAGGTTATCTACGATGTTTTCAGTGTCCGGTAGCTGCTTCGTACTCAGTACTTCCAGTGATTTTTTGTTCGTTTAGTCGGTGGATGCTACATATTAAAGTTTTTTTCACTAAACGTTACATTTAGACAGTAACGTTTACTATGTTTATCCTCCGGCATATCGTATGCATTAAATTGATTTGTTCACAAAAGATTATTGTGCATAACTCCGGTCACTTGAAATGAAATCCGATATGCTGTACACTCACTAACTGAATGGAAATAGGCGGAAAGTGCTGTAAATGACATTTGTATTGAACATTGAGGACGTTGCTGCTAACACAAATCCTCACAAATTACATTAAATTTTGTAACGCCATCTTAGAAATAATTATCAGTGTTAACTCTGAATTCTCTATTTTAGGAAATCATCATTCAAGATTTAAATACGGATCATGAATTGAACAACTTACATCAATCCATAACAGAATCGTTGGGAAAGAAAAAGGAACTGGAGCATACAATCAGTTTACTAGAGTAATTATGGTCGCTGTTATTTGTATGATACTATACTACTTACCAATTTATTCAGTAAAAATAAATTGATTTAGTTAATCCTATTCTCGATTTCCCGTTAATTTAGCTGATCTTAAAGATTAATACAATTCAACCAGTCCTAAATGGAATAGATACTTATGACACTGGTCACTACTTGGTGATCAGTCACTTGTAAATATTTTAGTTCACTAGAAAGTTAGTTGGGGTCCAAGTAGCTCAGTGACAACGACTCAAACTGTGAAGCGGCTGGCTAAAACGTGGTCGGATACGCCAAGGAGCACAGGTTCTTTCACGATTACTTCCACAGCTTACTGACTAGTGCCTAGTAGGATAAAACCTAGGGCCATGGTTTCTTTTCAACTACCTACAACCATCTAACAATATTTTTCTAAAACATTTATCATGAAATTATTAGTTAGTCAGCAATTAGTTATCAGTATCAATATGGACAGTTGTGAAGACTGTTAAATGTTATTGTGATCACTATTCAACCTAATTTAAACAAACACTTAAAGCCAGGGAATACTGGACAGCTATTTCGTCCTCGTATTGAGCCTCATTAGCAACGTACATCCGCTCAGGGTGTTTAGGTCTCACAGGGAAAGCTTAAAATTTTGACCTCAGAGTTTATATCTAGTGGTTTGCACATTTAACTTCAATCAATCCACATTAGTACCCAACCATCTTCCATTACTTCTCCTGGGTAACCTCACACGATACGGTCGAACTCCTTAGAGATAAAAGCGCTGTTCACTGCTTCCGGGTTCTCACTTGTCTAATCTAATTTGGTTGATGATCCCAATGTTTGGGAAGTGATTTAATGGTAAAAGAATGTGTCTACAAAAGCAATCTCTGTGTAAACAGACTATTTTTAACCTAGAAATACCAAACCCTCTGAAATTAGACTGATTTTCAACTATGTATGGGATTCACTGTCTAAATTTTCACACAGTCATACTTTGGTATAAGCAAATTAATCATATTAGAAAAAAATCAAACATATTTGTTATGACCTTGAATCGCTTTTACCCCGTCGATACTTTGTTATGACTCGACCTTGATCTGTCTAGTCTAGATTATGACTTTGGCAAAATAGGCTGAGCGGTTTAACCTTGAGGCTAATACGCGTGAGTTCGAGATGGGGTAGAGAGAAAACTATTCTAGAATCTGACTAACTGGCAAGCACGCAAGTGAAGGAAGACAAGACAATTGGAACACTCTGAATTCGGATTAGTGCAAAAATGTACATGAATAAATAAATGAATATCCTGACCACAACGTACGATAATTTGGGAAAATACAATTATGTCCAAAACTGGGGATTAGGGTAGAAAATAAGGTGCAAAATATTATGTTTAAATTACAATAGTTTCAAAACAAAAAGGGGTATGGTGATGAATGATACATCGGACGAAAGCTCATGTTCTGTAGAATAAAATAGGGACAAAAATAGATATGTCTTTTACAAGCTTTGAATAAAATGAAATAACGTCCCAAGAAATAGCTTTCGTAGTTTGTCTGGGCTTCTTATTTCCCTGGTCACAACAATATTCATTTGTTGCAAATATGAGTAGTTTGTTTACTGTGCTATTATTTATTTGAATGTAATGCTCACAAATGACAGTTCACTTAACCTTATTTTTCTTGACCATTGGCAATAAGTGTTTGTATTTATAGTGAATTTCACCCTAATATTTATATTCCTACGATGGGATTGTGAACTCTGTCATTTTGTCAGTAGAGACAAATCCTTTATATATCACCAGTTGATGCGATTGAAGAGTCGTTTCCTTGAATACTGTGCTAAACGTGATTTAGACATTAACTAATTTTTAGCACATTATTTTCACATCATATTGTAGTTCTCATTTCATTTATTATTATTCTTTCTAAACAAACTGTTGACAAATATTCGAACCATTATTAGCAATGTCTAAAAGTAATCATTTCATGATTTGTAACTCTATGAATCCCCGGCATGTGGCTCTTCTGAATAACTCTCTAATGGATTCATTGTTTGTTATATCATAGTTTACATATTGGATTTGATAATTCATAATTAAATACAAATAATTTGTTTGTCTTCCCAATTTTATTACTTTTTTAGTGAAAAAATTGCGACATTTCAAAAAAGTGCCAGTAAGTATCGTGAGTTAGAACTCATGCAGAAAGAACGAGCGAATAAACTTGAAGGGATTCGTAAAATGTAAGCTGTAGAGCTAAAATCGTTTATGAATATTTAGAATGACTAATATTTCGGTGTCAATAGTCCTGCGGTTGATAATACTTCTTACTGTTCCCTTTGTTTCAAACTAATGCTTTTGTTTCTTTAAGACGAAGTCGTCATGCTGAAGCATTGGAACAAGTTTTCGCTGGCTCTGTGATTCCTTTTGTAGCTACAGAAAAGTCACTTGAAGAACAAGCGAATCCTAATAATATTCGATCGTTTATTAATGATCAAACACGTTTAAAGGTTGTATTCTCTAAACGACTTGATGAATTGGAACAGTCAACTAGAGAGACAAGAAAACAGTTGGCTAAAATTGAGCAAGAGCGCTCATCGCTTGAAGCTACTTCTAAATTTACCAGGTAAAATGTTTTGTTCTATCATGTAAACGTTTTAGAGAATTCTTCCGAATTACGATTGTATTTTTTTTTGTTACTGAATACAAACACAATATCCATGATAGATAATTACAATTATTATAAAATTGATTAGAACTTCAGAGGCACATGGGAATGCTTTGAAATAACAACATATTACAATTGAGATATTTTTCCGAGTTGGACGCCACAAATTCTTGATAATAACTACAGGTATGGATTACTAAATAAGTATTATGGTTAGAACAGATAGGAGAGCAAGCAAAGGAATGCTGAGATAGATTATTAAAACAGAACTAATAATTATGTTTAGTAAAAATTTTATAAGTTTTGAATGTTTTGTAGTTACAATGAATATGTAGACTCTTTATTATAAGTCCACTTGGTTTAAACTTTTTTTTAAAAATATACTTTACAGAAATCATCTACAAGAAAAACGAGATCAACTGAAAATATTAGAAGGAAAGCTTTTATCTGTACCTGGAGCAGATGATTTGGAACAAACTCTTATTAATCTTCAGGACAGACGTGGCTCTTTAGAGGAGTGAGTTTTTTTCAAAAGTGATCAGTTGTGTTTTTGTTGTTGACAATTCATATCAATTATTTCTGAAATTACAAAGACGATAAACAGATACTATAATTGCTCGTACTTTATTTTTATTCGATTTTCCTAAGTCTTTCTTATTCGAAAAAGTTACCTTTATTGCTTAGTATTATTCAACCACTGATACACTAGATTAGTCCCCAAAATCAGAACTCTGCTTCAACAAGAAAGTAATAAATGCCAGTATAAAACAGCTAACTAGGATGCAGTTACCATAGAGAGTTTAAACGTCATGCTCGGAATTAACGAGCAGCTGTAGGGTGTTATCGAGCTGCTTTCGGTAGCTTCGCTAATGTGAAGAAAATTTGTCCAAGGATGGGCTCGTACAGCTGACTGTACAGAGGTGTGACGGCAATAGGGTGTTTCCGTCAGATAACCAGTATAACAGCGATGCTGCCTTCCGACAAAGCAACGGCGGATTTTGAAAGACCGACCTTAAAAAATGCACACCTCGCCTTATACCACGAATTTCTGCCTCCGACGGTAAGATCTCAACAAGTACGAAGTTAACACAGAAATTACTAACAAAAAGCTCGTGTGACGGTCCTCAAGTAGTTGTCCTTTGTGCATTGCGGTTACCTTCTCAAGTCACAAAGACCAAATAACCCAATTTCCTTTTGATGTACCTCTGGAAGACTGACTGAAAACGACTTTGGCAATTCTGTTTTATTTTCGCTCAGTCCTCGAGATTTTCAAATCTGTTCTAAACGCGTTTATCGGAATAAACAAACATTTTAATCATCTTATTATATTCACTAAATCTATTGTTATTATTCGTATTACGCAATCTAGTATTATAATGTTTTTATTACGTCATTGTTAATTGTGTTCACATTTCCTCAAGGAATTAGTACTTTTACAAAAGACAAAAGAATTTCATATATATACGATTGTACACCTTGATAATAAATTCGTTAAAAAGAGATCCCTTCTCTGAACTTCGTGTTTATTTTTAAACATCAAAGTGTTGAAAAGACATTGTTAACTAAGCTTACCTACGGTTACTGTTAAACTTTTAACTAAGTCATTACGTCTAGACACTAAACAACTAAATATAATTTATCATGAGGATGGATATTGATGCCTACTAGTTATTTACTAAATGCAGACTAATGCAGCTTAGAGGCAAATTATTGTTATGCCATAAATTCTCCTCTAGACGTCTTCAAACAATACTACTCATTATTACCAGCCTCATGTGTTTCGAAAACTGATATATTTTCAGATGCAACGAGATTGTCATCAGAAGCTTTTGCAATAGTGAATATTATCTAAAATGCACGTTGTAAAGAGCAAATCCGCTATTCCCATAGGGATAATTCTGATAATGCTCGTTATGCAGTCTCTGTAAGTAAAATTAAAGTTAACTTGGTCACGTGGGAGGAGGACCCTTGAAAAGTGGTCTAGCACGTATAATAACCTCAATAAATAAGTATTAAAGTGGGTTTCTTTTGTGCCTCATCTTTTAAATAGCAGCATTCAGGAAGTCGTATCACAACAAGGCCTGTATAGTAATTACTATTAGTTGGAACGACTTTGCCTGCATACTTACTTTCCACAGTGCTACAGTTACGATAAAGTCAAAAACAGATATTTATTACAGAGTATTTTAATCATACATGTTGAGTGCTAATTAAGAACAAAAATTGTCGCCGAAATTGGAATACAATCCAATATTAAGTGATAATCATAGATTATTTAGAAAATGTAAATCACAATCACTGTACTACATACATATATGGCTGAGCAGGTATACGGTTATATGAAGGGAGGTTTGCATAAACTAGATGGGGTGAAGGAGTACTAATACTGAATTATCCCGGAACTTTGAGGGGCTTATATACAGAAAAAATCGGAGCAAAGCACTGGACGCAAGTGTATCAAGTGAAATTCAGAATCATCTGAAGACAATCAATTTGTGATTAAATTTCTCATGCAATTCTACCAGATATACGCTTTCCTAATTGTTGAAATATTTCTAGTGAAATTCCTGGGGAAATTATGTCGAATGAATCACATCCCGATAGAAACTGATGCAATTTTGTTAGATGCCGATTGTTCGGATGGTTCATTATTTTTTTAGTGAAGTCCTCAATAAATCTAAGGGAAATATTTCGGAGGAATCGAATTTTGATAAAATTCTAGATGATGTCATATTGGATGTTATTTGTTTCCGCGACGTAATTGTTTCTTGTGAAAGATTTGGTCGATGTGAAGCGCTAGTTCCAAATAAATTAAATCTAACTGCACTTCTGATAGTTCCATATAGAATATTGTTCACCTTCAGTATACAGTCACTTTTAGTGAATTCTTTATTTACTATGACAAATATGTTTCAAATGAGTCACATACTGTATTATTGCTCTCCAAGTTTCAGCTCAGTACAATATAACTGTCTTGAATTTTGTACTGAAATTTCTGATATACAGTGGGGGATAAAATAGAAATCCATCATCCCCAATATATCAGTTTTCGAAACACATGAGGCTGGTAATAATGAGTAGTATTGTTTGAAGACGTCTAGAGGAGAATTTATGGCATAACAATAATTTGCCTCTAAGCTGCATTAGTCTGCATTTAGTAAATAACTAGTAGGCATCAATATCCATCCTCATGATAAATTATATTTAGTTGTTTAGTGTCTAGACGTAATGACTTAGTTAAAAGTTTAACAGTAATCGTATATAAGCTTATTAGACAATGTTATTCTGATAAACGCGTTTAGAACAGATTTGAAAATCTCGAGGATTGAGCGAAAATAAAATGGAATTGTCAAGGCCGTTGTGATTAAGTCTGAATAAAAAGCGTATATGCTGTAAATTAGCTTCACATTGGCGAAATAACGCTACCAGAAGCAGCTCCATAACACCATATACTCACTCAAATACTTCGTTCTTGACTTTTAATCCGTGTCATTGCATAGTTCAAAAATCCGTGTTTGTTGTAAAATTGTACATGTGATTTTCTGTAATTTTGATAATTTGTCTTTATGTTAATCTCAGAGAATATGCAAACGAACAAGGAAGTGTATTTTTATGGTGTAAATTTCGTGATCGATTGTCTCGTGTAGATTCTGATTGTCCAGTATGTCATCGATGCTTTGACAGTGATGCAGAACGTGATGAATTATTAAATGAAGTGAGTAGTATAAAAATGTATATTAAACATTGTTCCGCCTTTCATTTTAATTGTTCATGCAATTACGATAATGAAGGTAATGTTTAGTCAGATCACTCACCTTTATGGTCTCACAGAAATTTTTCGAATATATATATATATCATAGATATTTTAATTTGAGTGGTCGGTTATTATCACTAGCACATACACATAACGTGTGATTGATGGCTGAGTATATTAATCTTGAGTTGCTAAGGGATTTATGCAATAAATTTGATCATATTTACTCTTAACTGCCAGTCGCATCTCTGAAGAAAAGCTTTTAGACTTTCAGGTCTTCGAACGAGATCTTAACTACTGAGTCAGCATATAGTGCCTTACATTCATAACTTCAATCAGTTTTCAAATATATAAGATAATTATCGTGCGATTGCATTAGTTTGCAACTACCTACCACCTTACATAATTGAGCCTCATTGGTCACCACATATTAGCTAGTAACAATCCATATGTACTTTGAATTATTCAGACACTGTTGCAATAGACAAACAATTCTTTAAAATCGTATTCTTTTTACATTTATGTACCGCTTCTTTCCCAATAAACTTTTCACTAAAAATTTAGTTCTATTAGGTCTTATTTGAAATAACTAAGAGAATTAACTTTTGTGATCCACAAATATTTCCTATTTATGGGATGACTAAGTACAATCATATTGATTTTATGTTAAATAAAATCTTATATTCTAGAGGTAATTACATTTGTAGTGATGATTTTTGAGTTGTTTCTTCCGACTTGATTGCTAATTATCCACAGTTTTAATTGTAAGCAATATTTATTGTTGATATATGTCGTTAATATCAATGTTAATTTGTATATTTTGTTTATAGCATGTTTTTACATACTTTACGATTATATTTTCTGCTTTACACAGATTGATAACCGAATAAAAACGTTACCTTCTGAATTTGAACGTAAAAAACAAGAATTGAAAGAAATCGTTTCACGTCTTGAATCATTGGTTGAATTACGTCCTATAAGTTTAGAGGTTGGTGAAATCATTATGTGGATATTTAATCGTGAAATAGGTTGTCATAATACAAAATTCTTCACACTGTTAACGGAATATGTGGGGATTTTTTTCTTCCGGATACTAATACGTCAATATTGTGTTTTTCTTTATGCCTTCACGCAGCGGGGGTGTTGTTTACGCAATTGAGAGTACGAAAATGGAATGCCCGGCGCTTTTACGTAGTTGGTAGATATGGAGGATCCACCTAAAGGAGTTGGAAAACCATGATCCCAAATCAATGGTGTACATGGGCTCCAGGATCCTAAAGAAACAAATAACATATGACCCAATTATTGGTCACCGCCTACCATGGGAATTCACCTCTTGACGTTGCTCCACTGCTTTGTGGATTAGACTTTTAGGTCAAAGGCTCGGAGTGTGGACCCCTAAGAAAACTACCTGCTTCGGTTTGGGCACACGGGTAGTATCCCAGTCCTCACACAAATTGGATGATTTATGTGGTGCATATTTATTTGGTACCTTCTTGTACCAATGTTTATGTAGTTAAACAAATAAATAATAAACAAACGCATTATCGATTTATGATGAGAGTAAAAATTGAATGAGGAAGGAAGAGAACAGCATGATATAAACCAGAGTTAACAGCATACTATTCCTCTAAGATAGCTACACGAAACAATATATATATTTGACAATCTTTTATCACTGTATACTTTGCAATTTGGAAATGTTAAATATTGCAGTTAATCATTTTGGTCTTTTTAAATTCGGAATTAATCAAAATAAACTTGGACCTTTTATGTAATTCAGCTGGTGAACGATACGTTGTATCATTAGTCAGTCATTTCAAACTTGTTTCTTCTTTCTCAATTTAAAGCCATGTTGTTACGAAGAAATTTCATACCATACTTAGATTTCAGTAATTATCTAGGAAAAATTTATATTTTACAGTATTTTTTGTTCCTAGTAAATGAGATTTAAAAAGTAATTGTACAATAATGATTTTATATTAAAACATTATTTATCAAATTTGTGGATCCGTTTTTTATTGGTTGTTTGGATCTTACCATTGATGTTTAGAACTGCAGTTGATCAGTCTCTTATTGGCATATGTGCATCTTAAGAATACTGCCTTACGTTACAAGCATTATATGCAGAGATGAACGGTGACTAGCGATGGAATCCAAATAGGACGAAACACTCGTCTTAGGCTCCACTGCTAGCCATCATCTCTCTTTGCTTACAAATCTATGAATGTTATTAATCAGAATTAGTTACAATGATGCAGACGCACTTACTCTTGTCCTGGAACACTTATACCTTTTCGTTTTTCTCAAATCATATTGTCCATGTTATACTTAATGTTTCCTACTACTACTACTACTAGTGATATTTTGATTACCTATAATGCTCTGATATTTGGTTTGATAATTTGATCCCATTTTTTCATATTGTGTTGTGATAACCTGAACTGGTACACGTATGTGTCAGAAACCAATATTATTTAAGACCACTACTACCTGAGCGGTTTGCTAAGTAATTTTTCATTTTTTCTTTTTCACTAGATCAAAAATCTACATGAGGAAGTAATCCCTGCTCTAGAGTTGAAAATTAAAGCTGAATTAGATAAACTTACTGATGTACGCAGTCAACGAGATAAGGTAAAATGTAGTGTGTACTGAGATAATTTATCTGCTTGTAGTTTTGTTATACGTGTATCACTATTCATTTATATATTGACTGTTTACAAAAAATTCATAGCTTGTTATGTTGTCTACTTGTTGAAATTTTAATTAGTACTTTTCTCTTAATTAATTGCATTTGAAATGCTAGTCATGAAACGTAACGTCTGTATTTCACATCTTAACGTTTTACCACTTTTGTGTTCGACTTCGAAATGAATGGTACGTCTACACTCCATACATTTGCCAAAATAAGTAACCGTCAGGTTCACTTACTTTTCGCTTGTTGATGTTAGCCTACAATGAATTGTATTTGCGAACGATTAAGGATTCCTTTAATAAAAGGTAACGAATAGGAACTCTAATAAACCAGATATTTGTCATACGACAACATTTCAACTTAAATAATACCTACACTACTAGTGAAGACGAGACTATGTGGGTAACTTTTCATCACGTGCTCAAGTTAAATTTCTGAAGAAACAACTCTATTTTCATAATAACGTTTAACGACCTTAGGACATAAGAAAACAAAATAAAAGCGACAACAGGCAGTCTGGTAACAACAGATGTTATTGCGGTAATATGATTTAGAAAACTTGTGTGGTTATCCTTCAAAGAAAGAACCAACATGCAATGACAAAAACTAAACAACCATATCTCTTATAAACTGTCAACTGTTGTATCTAAATAATGCTAATGTTTAGTATGCACTATTCTCCAAGTGACAGTTCTTAAAATCCTGTTACTTAACAGCCTGAAATAGTTTTTTTTGGTTTTTTTATATTAAATTTCATTAGCTTTTCATTTAATTAGGTTTTATATGTTCTATAAAGGTATGCTTATAGTAGTTAGTAATGAGCATGTTCGCCATTGTTAGGGTCATTAATAGAATGCTGATCAATAGTTGATGCGTATTAGTACAATCATCAACTCAAGACCCCAAACGACTTGGTGTCAAAAGGCAACATAAGTGCCAGGAGGATAAGATTTTTCTTTCAGCAAAATAATATTCTTATATATACAATAACAAATGACAAATTAAACTAAATTAGAGATAATTTGAAAAAAAGATGTGATTAGAGGAAATTTTAATATCCGTTCAACTGGGAAATATATCTTCTGATATCACTGATGGATAGAGACTGGAATTCACGGGTAATAAAATTGTATCTACTTATTCACTATTTAACTTGTCTGCAACGAACTCTGAGTTTGATGTGTTCACTTATTCAATATATATATATATATATATATATATATATATATATATATATATATATATATATATATATATATATATATATATATATATATATATATATATACCATTCCTACGACAACTTAGTTTATCATTTATTACATTATAGACAAGTGCTCTACTTGAAACATATCAAGCAGATGAATCTTTAGCAAAAACAGTACAAGGTGATTTGGCAATATTAGAACGCTTAGAAAATGAATCTTATGAATTAACAGTTAAAATTAATCAATTCAAATATGAATTTACAGATATAACAACAGGTTAGTGAAATTATTCTTTCTTTTATTTTCCCTAATAAATATATGTATGTGTTTAATACTTGAAAGTGAATTCTGTTTTAATACTAAACTTTAAATTTATTTCAATTGAGTCAATTGAAGCTTAACCACCATGGAAAACCTGGAAATTTTCAAACAGTTGTTATCTCTATATCTTAGTTAAATGTATTGATCATCACAAATTTGTTTTCAAAAAAATTTTATACTACGTTTAGTTTTACTTTATGGCAGTGAAACATGGCTGGTAAGAGTAGAGGATATTCGTAGGTTACCAGTATTCGATCATAGGGGTCTTCGTAGCATTGCTCGTATATCCTGGGACCACCGAGTAAGTAATCCAGTTGCTAGGAAATGTGTACTAGGTAGGGATAGCAAATCAATTGAAGAAGTAATGGAACTTCATCAGTCGACATGGCTGGGACATGTTTTGCGTATGCCCAACCACCGACTGCCCCGACGTGCGATGTTTTATGGTGTAGGGGGTGGGCAGACCAAAACATGGCACAAATATATGAAATTACTGACAAGTGGACTGAACCATGTTGGTAGATGTAGACTACCTGTTTGGGATCTGCGAGATGATAGCAACCGATGTCTAGAGACCTTGGATGACATCACTCAAAATCGTTTGCAATGGCGCAGGTGCATGCATTCTTTGTGTTCTCCCAAATTCTAATCTGAATTGTTCATGTCCCTTTTTTTCTCTCTCCAAATTTGTTTCATTGTGTTATACTCCTTAAATAACATCTTCAGACCGTAATGTTTCCGATATATATGGCAACTCGAACTGATGTACGTACGTACGAAGTTTGGTGTTGTTGCTGACTGACTGATTGACATTTAGTTTTGCCGTAGAAAAAATAGGTGTTACGAGTTTGATTTTCTGTCATAACTTCATACATATTATAAATCTGTTAAATAATAATAAATAGAATATTTGCTTTCACAGACAAACTTACATGATTAATTATTCGTTATAGTAAATAATTTGTATACTTTGTTGTGTCATTTTGCACTGAATAACATTCAGATATTTTTTTACCAAGCAGATTCTCAATTAATTGATGTGTTGCAAGAGGAAAGAAAGTCGTTACGTGAGTCATTGTAAGTGATTGTATTCAGTTATCGTTCATATCTTTGTTTGTTTTTGTAAACATTTCTTTCGTTTAAGTGTAGAATTAAAATATATCATTTGATCATGTATGATGATATTGTTGATAGTTTATTGTAACGTACAGGCATACCATTTTAAAAAACCATGATATTGTATAAATATTTATTTAGAATGATTATAAAATGAGTTTTAGCCAATCACTATATGGGTAACTTCAATACCCAAAGATCTAGTTAACAAACGTAAGTACTAATCTCATATACACGAAAAAAAACACTATGGCTAATGTCAACCAGCTGTGTGAATATATGTAACCAATTGGTGATTTCTACTATTTATTTCAGAAGACTTATTATTATTGATTATTAGAAAGTAAATAACATTCCATTGAATATTGACTATATCCTCTTTTGTATCAAACGTCACTTTCATTACGTGCAGAGAAATCTCATTCGAAAAAAGAAGATCCGTAAAATACTTCATAAACAACAAAGATTGTTGTAGAAATTATTTGAATTGAAATAATTTTTTTTATCCAAAGTTTGTCTAAAGGGTGCAACATGAGTCCTGCTGTTGCTCATGTAGCACTCATACATATGTAACACAGTGCCATCAATACATTGTTATTATTCTAAACTGAGATCCACTTGAATTGGGACGTGTTAAACGATTTATTACCATTTTATCTTAACTACGGAACATCCATAACATTACCAGTTTATTTTAAAAACAAGTTGGACTTCAGTGTGATCAAAGTTGAAGAACTACTAAAATGCTGGGATTATTTACTAATAACTTCATCTTAATTGAAAAAAATTTCATTGAATAGCACATTTAATACTTTTTAATTGAGTCCGTTGTATATCTATATGGAACCTAGTTTGCAAAATCATTAAATTAAACGGTTTTTCTTGCCCGCAGTAAAGATGTGATTTTTTTAATTTGACAGGAGCTTTTTACTCTCTGTAATCAATCAGGCATAGAGGGTATGATCAAATATCCGATTTCAAAACAATCATTTAACAAAAAATGAGCTTTCTGAACTTTATTTCTTGATAATCTCAGTTATATACTAGTGGTGAATTAGATTGAAAATATTGTGCATTTACGAGATTTTCTTTTAACTTTTATCAATCCGTGATAATAATAAATAGTCGCTTTAAAAATATTCTGCTTCTCTAGACTAACAATTTCTGAAACTATTGAGCAGAAACAAAAGCGTGTTGATCAGTTGAATCAGGCTCAACGTGAAGCTGTCAGTGAAATGCATAGACTTAAAGATCAAATGCATAAGGTATGCTTCTATTTGTTTGTTCTGGTTAGTGAAATTTTTTTTTTTACAAAAAGATATCATAAATAATCTATTTCTTTGTTTGTTTATTTATAGTTGCAGCAAGAGAATTTAGATAATGTTCAACTGAAGAATGATCTTTCTCGTCTAACTCGTGACTGTGAAATTTTGAAAAAAGAACTATCTGAATTAGAATCTGAGCAACTTCCAGCTGTTCATCGTCGATGGACTGAAGCATGCGATGAACGCAGTCGTATTACTAAGATCCGTGAAGAAAATATTGAAAAAGCTACTACAAAGGTAGGTAGTTGAAATATCCTAAATCAGTGTTTTATAAATTTATCTACAGTAATAAATTCTCGCAATTCTTTCCAGAGATGTTTTCTATTATCGTATTGTAAACTTTAGTATTTTGCTGCTTTAAATAGGTTAATGAAATTGGTGAAAAACTGAAGAAGCTGACTGACGCATGTACTTCGGTCAAATTTGCATTCGATTCTCAACCCTTAGAACGATTGAAGGTGATTCTTGAAACTGTAGAAGAACTTCAAAAGAACTTATCTCTTGTCAAATCTGAGGCTGACACCTGTAGTCAAAATATCGAACTCTTAAAAAAACAAATCAACGAGCATAAAGTATGTTTAATATTTCAGTAATATAACGTTTGTAGAGATTTTAAGCGTTATGATTTTGTTTTTACTTTCAAATTTTCATCCATTTTAAATTTCGTGGTTTACAACAGGGACTAATCTTCGTCAAAAAAACCATTTGAACATCTGTATGAATGGACTATTCTTTTATGCAGAATTTATTTGATATGAAACATTTATTAAAGAGAAATATTTCATTTAACATTGAAAATTACTTCACATCTATTAAGGTTTAATAAAGTATGATTTCTTTTGCATGGATGAAATAACTTTTGAAGTAGTCATGTTTCCTATTATTTTCAGGCGGATATATGGTTATTTCGAACTGTTTGAATATATAACTAAATTATTGTAAACCACTGGTGTTATCTGTACTGTTTTCATCGAAAGCCTATATTGCTTCGTTTAAGAACTACCTATTTCATTACTTCTCAGCTTATATTTTGTACGTTTTGTAGATGCGTCAGCGAGAATTGGCGGATTGTGTCCAAGTTCGTCAATTACGTTGTCAACTTAGCTTTCTCACAGAACGAACAGAATCCCTTGCCAAAAATCAAATGATTTGTGATAATATCCCTTTATCAGATCAGGATTTAATTAACGAAACTAAACGTTTATCATTAGAAGAGGAAAAACTTCATTCACTTGTAGGTACTTTGTTTCAATGTTGGCCTTTTTCATTTACGTTTGTGTATTTGATTTATAGGACATATTTCGTCGAACCTGCTTACAGTCATATTTTGTTAGCCCACATTGATACTATTGTTAATAAGTAAACTAAATGATCTGACCTATCTAGGTTACTACATGTTAGTAGCTTATCCAAGTAAGCTGATTGATGAGAAGGGACTTGTATACTCGGGATGACTGAGTTATATCTTTTTTGATCCACTATCGATGGGTTTTACAATGAATAACTTGAAGCATTTGTTTGGTATTGAAAATATTCTTATATAACTGATAATGTCTTCTCTTTGTTACAATTAGTTTGACTATTAATTTCCAAAGAAATATACCAAAATTAATAGATAGTACCGATGTTTTCGCTAAATCCGAATACAGTTCAGACAGCGTTTTGGCCATGGTGTAGGTAAAATGAATTTCTTATTACTGATCGTTTCCACTCAGTGGCCATCATACTTTCTATATAATCTCAAAAGTATGATCACCGTTGTATGTCAAGAAGATTTATTTCACTCATTCATAACAATGAAGATCACTCTGAATTGTTACTTTCATACATTTTGGAATAAATTATTAAGAAATAAATATCAAATCAAATGAAGATGAATGAGTTTTTCATATAAAATATGTTTTGTTTTTACATAATTACAATATACAAGTTATCTTATATTTGTATTTAAGATAGTTTAATGAACTAATGCTTACAGTAGTACAGTATACTTTCTTACAAAAAGAAATGAGATTTGACTATATTTAATCATGTACTAAGAAAAACTTAATTTGTAAACTATACAATTTAGAAACAAGACATATCCAATCAACTAAGTGAATTAAACGCAAAACTCTGTTATCTTAATCGTGATTTGAATGAAAAATATACCAACGCTGACAGTGAATATCGTGATATGATGTATCAGCTTAAAGTAAGTATTAGTTCTACATTTTTTAAAATCTATAAATTTATATGAATCTTTTATAAATATAAGGCTGTTTTTCCAATACAAAAGAAATCTCAAAGTTGTATTATACAACCTTTTTATTCCTAATTTAAAAGAACAACCTTTCTGATCGGTAACTTTTATGTCTATAAAATTGTATAAGTGAATAGGAGTATGCTAAATATATGGATAATATAATTATTCATGAATCCAATGGACCTAGAATATGGTTTTTCTGTTGTCATCAGTATTTCATGATTGTGCTTAATTGTCTTCAAAAATGTTGATTAATTAATATAAATAAGATAATACTTATACGCTTAACTTTATCATCCATTTTCATTGACACAATTTTCACACAACAAACATTTCCAATTTGTTTAAAATTCTTTCTCTTTAGTTAGCTAACAAACTTAACAGTTTCTCTAAAGTATATTTATTTATCAGTATAGGGGTTGTGAAGATTATTTAGTTTTTGATTGAGATCACGAACCGATCGATGTTAGAACACCAATTGAAAACCTGAAAGCACTGGATAGCCGTTTCGTCCTATTGTGGGACTCCTCAGCAGTGCGCATCCACGATCCCGCCTGCGGGATCCGAACCCAGGTCCTTCAGTCTCGCGCGCGAACGCTTAACCTACTGGACCACTGAGCCGGAATCTAATGGTGTTACTGTCTAACCTCAACCAATCCACGCCCGACCGAAGCTGCTACCTTGACGCGGTGGTCGGGCTTGCCTATCGTGATGACCCAACCGAGCTATATTGGCTGGAACATATGTTCCTGTAGGTTCTACCATGCCAGGCAGGTCGATTGGTGAACGGTAAGACTAAAAGCAGCAACTCAAGGTCTGAGGGCGAAGTCGTACTGCTGACTGTAGAGAGGTGTGACAGCAGTAAGGTGTTTCCCTCGGACAACCAGCATGACAGCGATGCTGCCTTCCCACAAGGAGGGGTGGGGTTAGAAAAGGTCGACCCTAAAAATGTCACACCTCACCTTACCTCACGGATTTCCGTCTCCGGCGGTAAGGCCCTTTGAAGAACGGAGCTAACACGTCAAAAACCTTCCACAAAAAGGCCGTGCGCGACCGGCCTCAAGCAGTTGTCCCTTGGGCTCTGCGGTCACGCTCCCAGGTCGTCAAGACCAACACTAATCCAATTTCCTTTTCAGGTTCCTCAAGAAATACCCTTCCACGGTGTGGGCAGCCGGGAAGTGACATCAGCCCTCATACCCGTAACAGCACAAGAGACCAAGGTGGTCACATTCAAATCCTTCCTACACCTCCTAATACCTCTCTTATCTCCATGACTAACCCTCCTCACGTCTCTTTATCACCTCGCACCGCTAGGGCAAACGATTCGAGTACGTGGAACGCCATTCCTGGTCTCCTGAAACCACGCTCTAAACTACACGTAGGAGCTTTTAACGTACGAACACTTTGCCAAATAGGACAGCAGGCTTCCTTAGCTAAAACTTTAGAATCTCGCGCCATCGATGTGTGCTGCGTCTCCGAAACGCGCATACAGGATCCAAGTAGCGTCATTCATTTGACCTCACCATGCCAAAATAAAGAACCGACTCGATTTACGCTTCGTGTATCTGGAAGCCCTGATTCTGCTTCCCGTGGCCTCGCCGGCGTAGGTATAGCATTGAGTCCTAGGGCAGAACTAGCTCTCTTAGAGTGGATCCCAGTAGACAGTCGTTTGTGCGCTGTCCGACTGAACGGAACAGTAAGAATCCGGAAAGATAGGGACACTCTTCGTCGTCTCTGCCTATTCTCCCACTGACTGCAGCTCAGATGATGTAAAAGATGAGTTTTACAGAAAGCTTTCGGACCTTCTCCGAAAAGCTAGGCGCTCGGATGTAGTAATAGTGGCCGGTGACTTTAATGCTCAAGTAGGTAAACTAAGCGATAAGGAAAGACACCTAGGTGGATCTTATGGTGTCGTGGCTCAAAGAACAGATAATGGCGACCGTCTGTTGCAGCTATGCTCAGATAACCGCCTGTTCCTTGCAAATACTAACTTTAAGCATAAGGAAAAACATCTTTTAACATGGCGACCCCCTAATTCGTCCCAACGTTGGACCCAAATAGATCACATCGCTATCAGCCACCGATGGAGGGGCTCGATAGAAGACTGTCGCTCATTCTGGAGCACATGCCTAGATTCAGATCATGCTCTAGTGCGAGCGCGTATTTGCTTGCGTCTTACTGGACGTAGGAAAGACGCTGCAAGGAAACCTCTTAGGGCCCTACTTAATGATAGTCAAGCTAAGAGTATATTTCAGGAACAACTAGGAAAACAGTTAGGCAGCCATGTATGTGATGCCCACCCCGATGCAGCATGGAATGATATCCGAAAAGCTGTGGAAACAGCAGTGATATCTGCTAGTAAGGTAAACCAGAAGGTTAGGGAGCAACACTGGATCTCAGCAGCATCTATCGCACTGATAGATGCTCGGAAACTCATTCCACCTGGCTCTGAACATAATGAAGAGCGGAGTCAGCTTAAGCGCAAGCTGACAAGAAGTCTACGCAATGATCGCGAACAGTGGTGGGTAGCGAAAGCAAGAGAGATGGAAAAGGCAGCGGCAATAGGTAATAGCAGACAATTGTTCAGACTCGTTAAGGAAACCGGAATTAGGAACCCGACCGTTAGCGAAACAATCTCAGAGAAAGATGGACATATTATTCATTCTCAATCCAGGAGATTGGATCGATGGGCAGAACACTTTAGGGATCAGTTCAACTGGCCTTCAGCCACACTTCGGTTTCCCACGATCTCCAGTCAACCTGAATGGCAAGTTAATGTAGGTCCTCCGTCCCTTTACGAAGTTGAAAAAGCCATAGGAAATCTGAAACGAGGGAGAGCAGCAGGCCCTGACAGGTTTACTCCTGAGATTTTTAAGGATGGTGGTCCAGTATTAGCAATGAGATTAACCGAGGTCTTAGGTAGAATTTGGGAACTGGACGTAATCCCATCTGACTGGTCTCAATCACTGATTGTGCCAGTCTATAAGAAAGGACAAAAGTCCTCTTGTGACAATCACAGAGGAATCAGTTTGACTAATATAGTGTCTAAAATATTAGCTTCAATAATACTTCGACGCCTAATCAAAGCTCGTGAAGAGCAGACTAGAGAAAACCAGGCTGGTTTTCGACCTGGACGTGGTTGTATAGATCAGATATTCACACTACGTCAGGTTCTAGAACACAGACACACATTCAGACGCCCCACAATGGTAGTATTTCTCGACCTTAAGGCGGCATTCGACTCTTGATCGTGAGGTTCTATGGCAGTGTTTGTCACTGAAAGGAGTACCAAAGAAGTACATTAACCTTATAAAGGCTCTCTACTCGAACACAACTGGTAGAGTGAGAGCTTATGGCGAACTGTCATCAGAATTGATTACCTCAAGTGGTGTTCGTCAGGGCTGTCCACTCTCCCCATTCTTGTTCAACTTTGTGGTCGACGTACTTTTAGAGATAACACTCTCCTCATCTAAATTTCCAGGGGTTGAACTTCTACCGGGAGGTTCACTTGTTGACTTAGAATATGCTGATGACATAGTTTTATTTGGTGAAGACGCTGACAAAATGCAGAGTCTTCTGACCACTCTAAGCAACAATGCAAGCATGTTCGGGATGCGATTCTCTCCCTCGAAATGCAAAATGTTGCTTCAGGATTGGGTTACATCGACACCCGAACTAGTGATAGGGAGTGAAGTAGTTGAGTGTGTCGACCGCTTCACTTATCTTGGAAGTCTCATCAGCCCTTGTGGTTGGTGTGTGACGAAATCTCAGCACGGATACAGAAGGCTCGACTAGCTTTTGCCAACTTGCGTCATTTATGGCGTAGGCGAGATATCCGTCTATCAACCAAAGGACGTGTTTACTGCGCAGCAGTTCGTTCCGTCCTACTTTATGGCAGTGAAACATGGCCGGTAAGAGTAGAGGATATTCGTAGGTTACTAGTATTTGATCATAGGTGTCTTCGAAACATTGCTCGTATATCATGGGACCATCGAGTAAGTAACACAGTTGTTAGGAAACGGGTACTAGGTAAGGATGGCAAATCAATTGATGAAGTAGTGAAACTTCATCAGTTGAGATGGCTGGGACACGTGTTACGTATGCCCAACGACCGACTGCCTCGACGTGCTATGTTCAGTGGTATAGGAGTAGGTTGGAAGAAAGCTAGGGGCGGCCAAACCAAAACATGGCACAAGTCCATGAAGTCACTGACAAGTGGACTGAGTCATGTTGGTAGGTGTAGACTACCTGGTTGGGGACCGCGAGATGACAGCAACCGATGGTTAGAGACCCTGAATGACATGGCTCAAAATCGTTTGCAATGGCGCAGGTGCATCCACTCTCTGTGTTCTCCCAAATTCTAATCTTCTGAATTCTTCATGTCCCTTTTTTTCCTCTTTCCAAATTTCTTTCACTGGATTATACTCTTTAAATAACATCTCCAAACCCTAATCTTCCCGATTACTGCTTATACTCTTGCTACCTCTACCACTACGGGATTTGAATCGACCACTGCATCTCTGTGCTAATGTGGTGTGGCAACTCGAACTGATGTACGTACGTACGAAGTTCTACGTTGTTACTGACTGACTGACCAATCCACGAAATTGCGCGACCATGTTCCATTGTACTGAGGTAGATACCTGTCTCTACCCGACACGGATTAGCTCCACTGGTCACGGCTATTAAAAGTTTATACTGACGAACATATGAGTTTAAATGTTAGTATTTCACGAAATTCTTATTATTGATGTGAATGATTGATTGAAAATTATTTGTTTGTTTGTTTTCTTTTTTCATTGTTTAATATTTAGACTTCAGAATTAGCTTGTTCGGATTTGGAACGATATTATAAAGCTTTAGATAGGTATATGATTTTCTGTAAATTAATTTTTTGTTGTTGTTTTAAACTATCCAAATAAATAACCAAGATAAATTCAAATTGTGTTTCTAGTTCCTATACTTTATGATCCAGTACAATACCCGTAACAGTTATTTCTATCCCAAAATTGTGTTTTACTTTTTTTACTGAAATTCATTTATAGTGTTTTTGTTCACATGAAATAGTTTTATAAGTTAAAAGTTTACATGGTTGTCTTACTAGTTTAATTTATGTTTAGATGACTATGTGTCTCAAGGAATTAATCAATCATGTATTTCTTTTTTTGATGAGTTGATAGATTCTAGGGGAGAACTTGATCATTGATATTCTTTAAATATACACTTCTTTACCTGGGACACATGTGATATAATAATGTTGAGTGACGTGGTTAGAAATTATCGACTTAATGTATGAGGGTGAAATCGCGCTTTTGATTGAACTGGTGTTTGAATTCTCTTGGTTCATTTCGAGTGATCCTGCCTTTTTTCAGTTACAAGAAATAGTTGGATATAGTAAACCGTTTTTCCCTTCTCACAGACTTTCATACTTTGCACTATTTAATTTCAAGTTAATTTAACTTGTTTATTTATACTATGAAGAAGGGATTTACACTGAATCACGAAACGTCAGAAAATTTATTTTTCTACTCATTGAGATATTATAAATATAGCATTTTTCTTAAAAGTAATTTGTGTTTATTTTTCTTCCCTTTAGAGCGATAATGTCTTATCATGCTGTTAAAATGGCTGATCTAAATAAAATTATCCGAGAATTATGGCGCAGTACATACCGTGGCAATGGTTAGTTACTTGTAATAATTAATTTGAATTAAAGTTGATAAGCTATAATTATATTTGAATGAAATACTTGATATTGGCAGTCTTTTTTAAATACTTATTGGATCTACTAAATGTATATTTACAACTGATTGGACACTGGATACCGACGAATGACATGTGTGCCGGATCCTTCTTAGTTGTAGATTCAGTTCTATAGACTGAGTTGAAATATGACCACTAGTCTAGGTGATTCAACATTGCGTGCACTACATTGAGATGTACGATGGTGGTTGGAGGTAGTCGACACGAAACCATAAGTTTCGTGCTATTTGGCACTCGTCAGCAAGGTCTACCTGTAGTCATGAGGGAACTGATGCTCCCTGATGAATTCGGTCCCATGTCACCTAGCTTCACAGTCAGAGACGTCTTCACTGAGCTATTCGAGCCGTGACTCACCTGCTCCAGGGCTGAGACTTATTTACAATTGATTGGTCATTCAAGTAAATATTGAATAACAGTATTTATTCTTTGGTAATTCAGTTTGTATCATATACTGAATATGTACGAAACAGTTTTTCTCTGGTATCTACTATGCATTTTTGATTGTAAGCATGTTTTTTTATCTTCTAATTATTGTCATATTCTTTATGGATAGAAAATAACAGTTACCTCGTTTTTGTGGCAAAATATCGAAGTGATGAACCTGTCGTATTATAGTAAAGGGTAGTTGTGACCTTTCGTATGTTCTACTTTGCTAATAGAAGTCTTGTAAACGTGAGGTTTTTCATGACCTATATGTTATGTGAAAAGAATCAAGTAATGAATTCCATGGATTTCCTGATAGTAGTTTTGCGTGTATAATAGTTAAATTTTGCATCATATATAAATATTTTTTCCGTGTTTTCGTCTAGGATTTTCACGAAAGTGTGTTTTATCATGTCTTATTAATAGTATAAGGACCAAATGTAACCTAGGCTGAAGAAAAACTGTTTAATCATTATTTCAAAATGTTTCTAATACTAGTCAGGGAAATATGAAATCATGTTTCTTTTCATACCACAGTATCGAGTACTGACTTTTGATGGACTAAGTACTAACCATAATTTATATTTTACTTTTCAGACATCGATTACATTGAGATATGTAGCGAAGAAGATACAGCTGCTGCTTTGAATGTTTGCAGAACGCGAAGAACTTATAATTACCGTGTGGTTATGGTGAAGACAACAACAGGAAGCATGTCAGTTTCTCGGCCGAAGTCAAAAAACAATACTTCATGCAATAACGAAGCCCGTTTAGATATGCGTGGACGATGTTCAGCTGGGCAAAAAGTTCTAGCCAGTTTAATCATTCGTTTAGCACTGGCTGAAGTATTTTGCCTACATTGTGGAGTACTTGCTCTTGATGAACCAACGACAAACCTCGACCGAGAAAATATTGAAAGTTTAGCTTATGCTCTGGTAGAGTAAGTGATTTTCAGCGGCGCATATTATTAGGAATTACGTAGTAATTCGGTGTGAAGTATACGAGTATATTCAAAATAGGTCATTAAAGTTTTAAAACATAAAACTTAGTGTCAAATACTGGTATTACTGTGAAAGTTTTGTATTTGTTTGGTATTCAGAATTAATATCGGTAAAATTCACTTGGTATCGTTTACGTGAATCTTCTCATTGATGTTTAGGACTGCAGTTGATCAGTCTCTTATTGGCATTTGTTCAAACTGTGCGTATTGCCTCTATATTACTTCATCCCATCGCACAAGTAAGTGGCTATCAGGACTCAGTAGCTAAGTGGATAACGCGATGGCGTTTGAAGCAAACGGTACGGAGTTCGAATGCGAGAACGTAAACTCTGGGATAAAGGTACATCCAGCTGACGAGTCCCAAATAGGACGAAAGTTGCATCCTGGATTCTACTGCTAGCCACTATCTATCTTTGCTTACAATGATATCGGCAAAGTTTATTATCTATTTATCTTTGTGTTGTCAATTATTCAGATTACTGTATTCTGTACCTTAATAATGTGAATACTCAAAGCAGGTCTGAATGATAGCTTTCATTTTAGTACTATAACCAAGTTTTTAATCAGGAAGTAATAAATTTGAATTATGAAATTCCTTTACTGTTCCATATAAATGAAACCTATCTTGTAATCACTGTGGAAGAACGCACCTCTAATTTAATTGACGGTAGTTTTACTGTTAAGTCTTAAGTAAATACTAACATTACAACATAGTTTTATAAGTATCTTCCGATTATCGTTTGAAATGATTTGCATTAAGAACGTCGAAAATGAAATCCAGTTCATTAAATCATTATGGTAATGTAGTAGTGGTGATAGTAGTGTGGCGTACGCCACTTATGTTGACTGATATAAGTCGTACGTGACACCAATCAGAAGTGAAATGCCTGGCAGAAGATTGAATTGAAGAGAACAGAAATCTAAACAGACAGTAACCGTAATAACAATGAATCTGAAAGAATCATGAAGCATTTAAAGGACAACTGAAGGGAGATGTGGTAATGATGTACTTAATGTATGGCTTTCATATTTTACCAAAACATCCTGTGATTTTGTGGTAAACAATAAATCGCTTATCTTCACTAAGTCCTCGTTCACTACGGCAATATTAGTAGTAGTACTGGAATGATTTAAGGAAACTTCATGTGTAATAAATAAACAAATAAATTTTAAAAATTTAAACACATACAGATATTTTTGAAAAAAACTAACATTCCAGCCCATATTGGTTGTATTTATTGATTTGAAGGTGAATAATTATACGAAATGGTTTACTTAAAGATTACTAGTTTTGTATAGCCTTACTGATTGTTTTCATCTGAACAATGTTAAAATTTATAAGTTAATTGATATATTTGTAATATCCCAATGTGTAGAAAATTTAAATTCTCTGACGTTTCGTCACTCAGTGTAAGCCACTTCTTCAGAGGATAAATAACCAAATCAAAATTAATCCAGGTTCAAATAGTACAGCGGAACAACAAGAATATTATGTGATCAATCAAAAAACAAGTTAAAATTTGTTAGTTCTGTTCTGTTTTTTTATGCATATATTAGAAGTAGTGTTTTGTACTGTCAAGTTTTACAACTGGTTATATTTCAATCTGTAACTACATATATAATCGAACAATATTATTTTCGATTAGATCCTCATCAGGTTTTACTCTAATATACAGTAATATTTGTATGTATATACGAAATTATTAAACCAATCAAAGTATTTTATGGGTCAGTGATAACGGTGGAATAGATTAAATGAATAAATATAATAAGTGAAAAGTACAAATTGGTAGTGTGATGACATGTGTGTGATAGAACCGAGCTTTGTAGACCTTCATTATAAGAGAAACCTAGTAAAATGTTTTACAAATAGAACTTGGAAGATATGCTCAGTCGATAAAATAAACACACACTTGGTCGATAGCGCTCATGTAGTAGACAGAAATAGATCATTTAAAGTTGTTTTTTTTCTCAAATATACGTTTCACGATCCAATTATCTGAACACTTATAATTCTTATGAATGTTATTTCAGTGTCTATATTTTTCCTAATCATTGACCTATTTCCCATTATGTAACACTGATTCAAGCGTTTATTATTCTTATCACAACTAGTACACCTGTCATCCCATTACGAATTTGTACTTTTCACTTATTATATTTATTCATGTAATCCATTCCACTGTTACCATTGACCCATAAAATACTTTGATTGGTTTAATAACTTCGTATATACATACAAATATTACTGTATATTAGAGTAAAGCCTGATGAGGATCTAATCGAAAATAATATTGTTTGCATGTTTTTCTAAATCACAATATGGTAATTTTTCACATTTTAATCTATATAGAGTACGCGAACGTCATGATGAGTTTTTACCGGTTGAGTCATTTAAAAGTGTAGAATACTTTGCCCTTATTTCACCTATTTGGTCGGGAAAATTAAGTTTTCAAGAATGAGAATTTTTCTTTGTCCTTTTGCAATTGTTGCAAAATTTGTTTTGATCCTCTCAGTCGACAAGCCAACAACTTATGCTTGTGTGTAACTGTACAGTAAAAGATTTCTCCGAGCATGATCAATATTATTTTCTTTTATTTAGAATTATAAAAAACAGGAGCCGTCAGAAAAACTTTCAGTTAATCGTTATCACACATGATGAAGATTTCGTCGAATTACTTGGTAGATCAGACTACGTGGAAAACTTTTTCCTATTATCACGTGATGCACAGTAAGTCGGATTAAATAGATCACAACCAAACTTAATTTTCTTTTTTATAGAGGTTTATCAGAAATTAGAAAAGTCCCTATTGGAGAACATTTTCATTAAAGTACACATATTGTTTATTTAAATTATATAAATGATTTCATGAGAACTTCTTACTTGTTAAATCACTATTGTCCAGCTCATTTTCCTCTCATTGTATATGAAACAACAATTAACGGTTATTCTGATAGATGTGAGTACTTTTCTGTTTTATATGACAATTTTGTTCAGGTAGTATTAGTCTATAAACAAGCTAAATTCTGACCGATAAACTAAAAATGAGTGCAGACGTGTGTAGGTTCATAATACAGTGGATCATTTTGTTGATCAGCTTAAATTAAGCGTACAGGATCTCCTAACCACCTAAATTATGTGAATACAATGCAATCCTAAAATAAGCTAATAGTGAGTTGATGTCCACAACAATTATATTTTTGTTATATCCCGATGAGTAAGAAAATTGTACTTCTGACGTTTCGTGACTTAATGTAAATCAATTTTTCAGTGTAAATGAATGATTTAGTTCTGTTATTTATTTACTCTAAAAAGGTGGCTTACATTAAGTCACCAAACGTTAGAACTACAATTTTTCTACCCATTGGGATATAACAAAAAAATATTCATTACTAACTTTCTAATCAATGCTCAATTTATTTGAAACTATCGGCGTTGATACCTATAAATTCATAATAAGGTCATTTGTTGTGTGTTTTGAGTTAGCGATTGTTATTATCTACTGTACGAAATATTAGTAGTCTTGAAATGGAAAATTGTCCTAGTTCATGGAAATAAAAAAAAGATAATATCGTCAATTGACGATCGTAGGTTTTGATGATAGCAAAACTGTTAGTTACAACCTTTCAAAACACAACCAGTCAAACTGTGTTAATTTTGAAGAAAGAATAATCCTATCGCCTGGCGTAAACATGCCACCGTACAGTTCTGTTCACCATGTACCGTTTCCTGGGTGAAAGTTCTTTGAATTTTTCTTTAATTTTCAGCATCAGTAAGGTGTGAATAAAATATGAACCTGTTGCACGGTTGCGATTAAAGTTTGTCTTTTTGCCGAAATAATACCACTTCAAATTTATTCATTTACGATCGTGTACAGCATTTCATGTGTTGCAAATAAATAACAATTCGCATGAAAGAAATAAAATGTATCTCCAAACATATTTGACATTTGAATTAATTTGTGAAACCCATGCACCAATAAAAATGTGAATAAGGAAGTTTGGATCAGAATCTATGCGTAAGTACAAATTGTTATCTACAAAAGGCATGTATAATTCAAGGTATGTCTAATATGATAGCATGTTATAAAAGAAGTGAATAGCCACAAATAAACACGGAAGTATTGTTTAAATAACTTTGGACTTTAGGAAAAAAATGAAGCTTTCCTGTAGATTCCTGCATATTGCGGTATGAAAAAATATTGTGACCTTTATGAGCTTCTCTTTAACTTTCAAGTTTTTCCGTTATTTTATTAGTGAATATGAAACACGAACATTTAATTGTTTATTTTCAACCTGAAATCGTTATTCATAATAAACTAGATGGGTAAAGTGTTATGAACAAGCAATTTAATAGACAGTAAGATCCGAAACAAACTAAGGAATGTGATTTCAGTATGAATCGAAATGAATTAAACAGTGCATTGTTACATACAATGTTATACAACACACTTAGAATCTACAAATATCCATGAATGTTTAAAAATGCTTAATGTTTAGGCATGTATAAGCCCAGTTAGCCAACAGAAGATGATTTAAGTAAATCTAGTTGATGCAAACTAGAAGAGATTTACATAAGTTTATTCAAGGGGAGGAATGTTAATGATGGAAATCTAGGCTAAAATCCACTTGATATACGTTGAGTTATGCTTAGTTTTAATTAACATTTCTAGTATAAGAAAACAAACCGCGGATTCAAATATGCTATTTTTATAAATGTATGTTGTATCCGCATTATAGTTAATCAAACATTTAGTAGAAATTCAGTAGTGAGACACCATTTCTGTATTCGTTTCGTGAATAATTGCGGAAATTTATGAAGAATTAAATTCCTGTTACACCAAGTGCTAAATTTCGGTAGTGTTCTACAGCAAAACCGATAAACAGTTAATCGACCCATTGTATTTTGATGTTACAGAAGTAACAAAAACTATATATCATCATTTATTGGGAAGAAAGTTATCATTCACCAACCCAGAGTCAATAGCCTATTGAGTTAAAGTTGACATTTCAATCAAGTCATTGCAAGTAATGCTCATCGCGACGAATATGGCTTGTTATATATTCCTCGAAATCTAATCTAAAAGTGGTTATACGATGTTGTCAACTGTCATCTCTAGATTACACAGATGTTTGGAAGTGGCGACAATAAATCACCATCCTATTGCCCAGCCACCTACATCTTGCAAAATAAATCAAAAAGTGTACTGTCTCTGAGTTCCATGATATCGCACTTGCAGTGATGACTTCTGTGGAAATATTTGAAGTATATTGATACTCAAACGAGTTAATTGAAATCCACCTTCCGAAATCCTTACTCAGCACTACACCACCGTTGGATCCCATCCCAAACAATGCATCAAGTGGTTTTGCGTATGCTATAATCTGCTCGACATATGGTCCCATGTCTAAAAACTGGATAGAAACTAGGCAAAATATGATTTATACCATTTGTAATAAAATGTAGGTTGAGCCTATGTTAAGTGATAACATGTTTGGTTTGAACAAGTACATTTGAAACTTTCATATACAACAACAACCTGTGATATCAGGCCTAATTATCTAGTGTGACCGAATAACTGATTGAGTGCACCTGATTTGTATAAGACAGTTTAACACTTATTGAATACTATCTCTGTTAAATAATTTTAAATGTTATGAGCTGGTGAAACGAAATGTATCTCATTTAGAACATGGATATAACTAGAGAAGTTGTGGAAGTGGATTTCGAACTTTAATAGAGTTAGATAATATATTCATTATGATATTCCTGTTTTGTGGTCAGGAAGACGGTTTAAATCGTAATTATATAAAATGTGATATTGGTCAACTGCGTTCTAACACTTTTGTTAGTTACGTATTTTGAGAAGAGGATGGGATTGCGGATTATTTTTCATCTAAACAACATCTCTAGTTGTAAAGTTGGATTTATATAAATACTGTTTTTCATAAACAATCTAACATAATGTAGACTAAGATGGCTAGGAAAATGTATTTCTGTTTATCATAGAGAATGAACACTAGCATGCTAAGAATTCCGATTTTGTGCTGGATGATTTGCAATTGTTTTCAGGTAACGAGTTTGATAACTCCAATGCCTACTCAAGGTTATTCAGATAACAATTCATTGTGAAGTTGCGAAGCAGGTCACGAAGATGAGCACAAGTTTAGTAAATGTTTTTTCTGTCTCAAGTTTCGCGCATGTAATTCATATGTATTTCGTAATGCGTTTGATGACAAACGTTTTCTTAATATCACATCTAGAGTGAGAAATGTTGTAGGACAATATACCACTTTTCCATTCTCAAATCATTTTAAAAAGTATTAGTAAAAACAGTTGTACATGAACCACGTTATTCAAATGAGTTGTTCAATTATAACCTTACTAAACTTTGTACAAAACATATCCCAAAAACTATCCAAGTTATAGCATTTTTGATACTTATAGATGTAGAATTTAGAATACATTAAACAAAATGATAAGTCAGTAGAATTGTAGTTGAACAGCAGCATGTAATGGGTCACCTTTTCTTGATAGAAGCTTGAGATGTTGTAGATAGACCATAAAACATTTCGCCTAATTGATCTAAAAGTGTTTCTGTTCAGGACTACTAACATCACAGACCATTTAGATGCTAAACTGGTTTTGAACGTGGAGTATGTCTCTTAAGTATTGATTACTACACAGGCAATTATAATAAAAATATTTATCATAAAACAACTGGATATGTTATATCATTTGTTCGGAAAGCCAGCAGAATATACACCTAGCTCAACCATGTTTATCAATAATGATCAAAACATTTTCACTTGTCTGATGTGTCACTACACATTGAAGATCAATACAAATTATACTCCACAGAATTTCTTCTGTGAAAAGTATCGTGTTGGTAGGCATAAATAGAGGAAATTTAATTCATTGAACCGAGAAATAATCTTCAGAAGATCCGAGTAAGGAAATTGTCACCAATTGGAAATGTAAAGGTTAAATAGTTAAGCGACAGAAAAATAAAATGTATCTTCCTGTTAAATTACAGGAAAGTGGGTATTCACAAAAATAAGCATTGCATAGATGAAAATTTCACCTAACATTTGAATGGCTATGTATTTCATTTTTGAACGTACAGTAAGCATATCAATATTTTACATGTATTTCTATTATAGTCGAAAGTAACTAGCAGGTAGTGGAATAAATTGTGTTCAGATTTTAATAAAACTAGTTCATTTGTATTGGAACTGAAAATAATCAATTTCTATGACTGACAATATAAGAAGGTATGTCAAAGTGTTCATTGATTCAACACATTTAAAGTGAACCCACCTAGGTTCTGTATATTTAAAATGCTTAAGTACCGAAATCACACCATCACGGTAGAGTAAGCAACTTTTTCTCCTTATTCATTTTGTAACATTCTGGATAGATAGCATATGCTGTAGCCAGTGATAAAAAACATATGACCAACTGAGGCACTAAACTGATCAGTACTGAAGGGAAACTGTAAAACAAATTGATTCAAAACGCTGATAAGTTTACTTTCACAAGGTATTCAAAACGACAAAAACTAACAGTTGTTGTGAGGACTTAGGGAACATCTAAAATCAATATTTCACAACGAAGTCCAACGTGAAATTACACTTGGTGTTCCAATCGACATCCTATGTTTACGCGGCATTCAATGCAGAGTTTACCTTATCATTAATCTACCAATTTTCACGCCTTCCGTGAGCTCATTCAACTAGGAGAGATCTATTCAAATAGATGGGATATCCTAACATTTTGTTGACTAGATTTTAAACGTTGAAGTATTTACCCGTTTCATACTTAAGCAT